CCACACAATAGAAACAGAAGGGACATTGCCAAACTCTTTACAGCGCTACAGTTACCCTGATACCCAAACAACACAAAGATACAACTAAGAAAGAGAATTACAGACCAATTTCCCTCATGATGCAAAAATATTAAAAAAAAAAAAAAACTGGCAAACTGAATTCAACACATCAAAAACTCTTCCACCATGACCAAGTAGGAGTCATCCCAGAAATGCAGGGATGGTTCAACATGCAAAAATCTGTCAGTGCAACCCACCATATAAACAAACACATGATCACATCCCTAGATGCTGAAAAAGCCTTTGACAAAATTTGGCATCCCTTCATGATCAAGGTCTTGGAGAGAATAGGGATGCAAGGAACATACCTAAGTATAATAGAGGCAATATACAGTAAGCCAAAACCAACATCAAACTAAATGGAGAGAAACTCAAAACAATCCTACTGAAATCAAGAACAAGGCTGTCCACTCTCTCCATATCTATTCAACATAGTACTCGAAATTCTAGCTAGAGCAGTAGGACAACAAAAGGAGACCAAGGGGATAATAATTGGGAAAGAAGAAGTCAAATTCTCACTATTAAATGATAGCCTACATAAGTGACCCCAAAAATTCTACCAGAGAACTCCTACAGCTGAAAGACATATTCAGTAGTGTGGCAGGATACAAGATTAACTCAAAAATAAAATCAGTAGCCCTACTATATACTAGGCTGAGAAAGACATCAGAGAAACATCATCCTTTACAATAGCCACAAATAACATTAAATATCTTTGGGTAACTCTAACTAAACAAGTGAAAGACCTATATGACAAGAACTTTATGTCTTTAAGGAAAGAAATTAAAGAAGATATCAGGAAAAGGAAAGATCTCCCATGCTCTTGGATAGGTAGGATCAACATAGTAAAAATGGCAGTCCTACCAAAAGTAATCTACAGATTCAAGCAATTCCCATCAAAATCCCAACACAATTTTTCACAGACTTTGGAAGAATAATACTCAACTTCATATGAAAAAACAAAAATCCCAGGATAGCCAAAACAACACTGTACAATAATGGATCATCTGAGGACATCACCATCTCTGACTTCAAGCTCTATTATTAAAACAGGCTGGTATTTGCATAAAAACAGACAGGTGGACCAATGGAATCGAATTGAAGACCCTGATATCAATCCACACACCTATGAACACCTATTTTTGACAAAGAAGCTGAAAATACAAAATAGAAAAAAGAAAGCCTATTCAACAAATGGTGCTGGATGTCAACATGTAGAGGAATGCAAATAGATCCTTATCTATTGCCATGCACAAAACTCAAGTCCAAATAGATCAAAGACCTCAATATAAATCCATCCTTACTGAACCTCACAGAAGAGGAAGTGGGAAATACATTTAAACTCATAAGCACAGGAAACCACTTCCTAAATAGAACACCAATTACACAGACACTGAGAGCAACAATTAATAAATGGGACCTCCTGAAATTGAAAAGCTTCTGTAAGGCAAAGGGCACAGTCAACAAGACAAAATGGCTGCCTATAGAATGGGAAAAGATCTTCACCAATCCCACATCTGACAGAAGGCTGATCTCCAAAATATACAAAGAACTCAAGAAACTAGACATCAATCTACCAGATAAACTGATTTAAAAATAGAGTACAGATCTAAACAGAGAATTCTCAACAAAATCTCAAATCTTGAAAAGACCCTTAAGGTGTAGCATCCTTAGTTATCAGGGAAAAGCAAATCAAAACAATTCTGAGATTCCATCATACACTGATCAGAATGGCTAAGATCAAAAACACCAATGACAGCTTATGCTGGAGAAGATGTGGAGTAAGGGGAACACGCCTCCACTGCTGGTGCGGGGGTGCAAACTTGTACAGGCACTGTGGCAATTTCCCAGAAAATTAGGAATCAACCTACCTCAAGACCCTGCAATACCACTTTTGAGCATATAACCAAAGGAGTCACACTCACACCACAAGGACATTTGCTCAACTATGTTCATAACAACAATTTTGTAATAGCCAGAACTTGGAAACAACCTAGATGTCCCTCAACTGAAGAATAGATAAAGAAAATGTGGTACATTTACACAATGGAGTACTACTCAGCAGTAAGAAACAACAACATCCTGAAATTTGCAGGCAAATGGATGGAACTAAACAAAGAAGGAGGAGGAGAAGAAGAAGAAAAGGAAATTCTGAGTGAGGTAACCCAGACCCGGGAAGACAAATGTAGTATGTCACTCATAAGTGAATACCAGACATAAAGCAAAAGATACCCAGCCTACAATCCAAACTCCAGAGAAGCTAGAACCCTCTTCCAGAAACAGATGGAAACAGAGGCAGAAATCCACACTAACTATTGAGCCAAGCTCCTAGGGTACAATCAGAGTGAGAAAGTAGCAATAATATGAGCAAAGGAGTCAAGACCATCGTGGGGAAACCCATGGAATCAGCTGACCTGAGCTAGTGAGAGATCACTGGTGTGACAACTGAGGAACCTGCATAAGATGGAACTAGACCCTCTGAATATAGGCAACACAGGTCCCCCTGGGGCAATTTATGAGGCCACTGGCAGTGGGTCCAGGATCTAACTCGAATGCACAAACTGAATTAGTGGAATTCTTCTATATGGAGAGATACCTTGCCCAGCCTACACAGGGGTGTAGGGGTGGAGAGGTGCCTTGGTCCTGCCTCAAGGAGACAATGGGACAGACTTAGTAGAGTTCCCAGAGGAGGCCTTGCCCTCTCTAAGAAGTAGATGGGAGGTGTGGGGGAAGTGGGAGGAGAGGAGGGAGGGGGAACTGGGATTGGAATGTAAAAAATAAACAGTAAAGGCTAGGCATACTAAAACCAACACTCCTGAGGCAGAGGCAGAGCCAGAAGAACTTAACACTTGAGTTTGAGGCCAGCCTGGTATACATACCAAGTTCCAGGGCTTCATAGTGCACCCTGACACAAAGAACTGGCTGTTTCAGCCTTTTATGGAACCTCATGCTAGTACATCATAGGTACACAAAGGAGGGCATCACCAAGCTGCCTGTGAAAAGTAGGCAAAGGATCTGCTTATCTAGCTGGGAAGGAGGTTTGGCCAGGGTACGAACCATTCACAGCCTTCCGTGCAAATGAATGGTCGTGTTTGCTCCAGTAGGACATTCTGTACTTGCTCAGGTAGGTGTGGGAAGGAATCTTCTTGCTTCAGTTTTTGAGGCTGGGGACTGGGGTGTCTGCTGGGAGCAGTGCAGCAGCCAACGACAGCTGCTTACCTTCTGGTTTTGTGTTGGAATGGCTAATGTTAGCTTGCTCTTGGTAGTTTACAAATTTTTTAATTTATCTCTGTGTTCATGTGTGGCTCAGAGGTCAATGTGGTGTCTTCCTCTGTGGCTTTCCACCTCATCTTTTTTGAGACAGCTCTGACTTGAGGTGGCTGGCTCCATCCACTGTTGAGGTTGTAAGACCAGACCACTCTACACCTGACCTTTAAAAAAGATTTAAGACTGTAAGATAGTCTTATTTATTAAAAACCAAAGGATTGTACATGGTGGTGCACACCTATAATCTCAGAACTTGGAAGGCAGAGGCAGATGGATCTCTGAGTTTGAGGCCAGCCTGGTCTACATAATGTGTTTCGATCTAGGCAAGGCTACATAGCAAAACCAAAGGACCCCTGAGGAAACCACACATGAGTCTTCTCAGGGTTAGGTGCATTTCACCCCAGTCCCAAAGCCATGCAGGACATAGTGACAGATGAATGGAAGCACAAAATATGGTGCACACAGGCATTTGACCTCAAAAGAGGGTCTGTGAGTGTGAGGCCAGCCTGGTCTACAGAATAAGTGCCAGGACTGGTTCCAAAGCTACAGAGATACAGACAGGGGATCTGATAATTTTGTTTTAAGATTTGAATGTATATTTATTTTTAATATGAAGAAATTCATATGTAAATATATTTATATGGTTTTTGAGACAGGGGTTTCTGTGTGGTCCTGGCTGTCCTGCAACTCACTTTATAGACTAAGCTGGATGGGGCTAAGAAGACAGCTCGGCAGTTAAGAGCACTAGCTGCTCTTCCAGAGGTCCTGAGTTCAATTTCCAGCAGCCACCTGGTGGGTCACAAGCACCTGTAATAAGATCTGGTCCCTCTTCTGGCCTGCAGGCACACATGCAGGCAGAATACCGTATACCTAATAAATAAATTTAAAAAAGAAAAAAAAGGGCAGAAATACTTGTCCCCTGGATTACCTATTGGCTAAATCCTTCAGGGAGGTACAATCTTCTGCTATCTAGCATAGTCTCCGCTCCAAATTCTTCATCCTCCGTGGCAAAATCACCTAGAAGACTAAGTTCAAGATAAGCTAGTGTTGCTGTTAGGTAGGGAAGACAGGGGCTTATTGCCTCTTGATTGTGTTTCGCTGGTGAGCTCCATTTTCATAAAATGGACTATGATTTTTACTACAGAATGTTAAGATCAGGGCTGTGGATGGAAACAGCTGGGTCAGAGCACTGGAGGCAGGCGGCTAGGACTGCAAACTAGCCTGTCTGTAGGCGCACACCTGACGTCATTAAGCCAGGGTCGGGGGTCAAGGCTGCTGGCCCCGGAGAAAACAGAGGCCCTGACCTGGCTGTGGAGCCCAGAGAGGGAATGCGGGGAGGCGTGGCGAGCACACGGAACGCAGGGACCAGGGAACGTTGTGCATGGGTCAGAAGCTGAAGAACGTCCTTTCCGGTCCTGCCAACCAATGCTCCACAGGCGTGATAGGCGGCCCGTTTGGGCTACAGAGAGATTCTGCCTCAAAAAACGACAAAAGGCCAAACAACAAAATTACGTTTTAAAAAGATGTTCTCTTGGGAAGATAACGATTTACCATTGGACAAACACCGACAACACAGGGGCTAGGCTGGATACGAAACTCAACTTCCGTCCCAAGCCTACTAGGGCGGGCCTCGAAGGGGCGGGACGACCGCCCAAAAGAAAGACCCCCCCGCAGGTACTTCCGCCCTTTCCTAAGATGGCGCAGGCGGAAGGGGCTAGTCACCGTCCGCTGGCGACGTCCCGGCTGGAGTTGAACCTGGTGCGGTTGCTGTGTCGCTGTGAATCGATGGCGGCAGAAAAGCGGGAACCAAACGAGTGGCGTCTGGAGAAGGTGAGGGACTCCCACGTTGCCGCAGAGGCCTCGAGCCCTAGAGATAGATGACCCAACTCACTAGCCACGCCCCTTCCGGTTGGCGCCGTAATGTCAAGTGTAGCTCCTTCCCTTGGTGCATTGACCCTTGACGTTCTGGCTTCTCTCCGTGATCTCATTCCCCTATTGCATAGGCCACTATCTGTCCACATTTAATCGACTATAGCCCTGCCCCCACCCATGACTACTTTTCTGTCTTGGTCCCTCCCCTCTTTCTGGTCTTATTCTTGCAAACAAGCCTTGGGGCCCTGGCCTGGCTGACAAACTATCTTCCCTCCCAGTATGTGGGTGCCCTGGAAGACATGCTGCAGGCCCTGAAAGCCCAAGCAAGGTGAGTGAGGGACACGGAGACGCCTTCCCCGACTTTGCCACAGCGGCAGGTTGACTTCCTCTGCTGCCTTTCAGCAAACCTGCCTCCGAAGTCATCAGCGAGTACTCGCGCAAGGTGGACTTTCTAAAGGGCATGCTGCAGGCTGAGAAATTGGTGAGCCTGTCCTCCTACCCCTCAGCCCTCATTCAGACCCCCATGGCTACAGGACCTGGACACAGCCCCCAGTCATTTATCTTCTCCTTCCCATGTTTCCTCAGACCTCCTCCTCTGAGAAGGCTCTAGCTAACCAGTTCCTGGCCCCTGGCCGTGTGCCCACCACAGCTAGGGAGCGGGTGCCCGCCACCAAGACCGTCCATTTGCAGTCCCGGGCACGCTACACCAGTGAGATGCGGAGTGAGCTACTGGGCATGGTAGGATTCCCTCCCTTGTCTCTGGGACCATCCCTGGGGACAGAGACAGAGTAGTCTGTACAGGGACAGAGATTGAACACAGTACCAGAAATCCTAGAAGGCCACAGCAAAGCTTCCCCAGAGAAGGTACTGTGCTGAAGACATTGCTAAAGGGATAGGAATTTGGTTTATGGAAAGAATAGACCCTGGTGGTGGCGTACAATTTTAATCCCAGCACTCAGGAAGCAGAGATAGGCTTATCTGTGTGAGTTTGAGACCAGCCTGGTCTAGAGTGAGTTCCAGGACAGCCAGGGCCTAGAAGGAACCTGTCTGAAAAACAAAAAAACAAACAAACAAACAAAAAGAATAGATCATGTCTGGTTAAGCCCCAGAGTTGCCCCCCCCCAGCAGAATTTGGGTGAGTTTCTTTACAAAAGAATAAGGAATGCCCTTCAGAGCATTTTACATGGCTCATCTCAAAGCAGAGAGAGAGAGAGAAGTAGGGAAGACATCAAAGTGCATAGCCTCATGCCGCTCCCTTTTCTCCACAGGACTCATCCGGAGGTGAGTCATGCTGGGCAGGACTTGACTATCTCTGCTGCCCCACAGTCCTCATGCCTGCCTGGCTCCCTTGGTCTTTCGTAGCCCTGGAAAAGATCACCCAGGGTCAACTGAGTCATGCTAGAAGGGAGGCTGAGAAAAAGGTGTCCCCAGGAGAGACAGCAACAAGCACAGTGCTAGGGTCACTGAGTGGGACCTGGGACCTTGGGATAGGAAATATGTTCTTCAGAGACCCTGCGAAGATCCGTGAAGTATGAGTCTGGTGCACAGTTACACACTGGCTAGCAGACTTGGCACATAGCAAGAGTTGGGAACAGAAAACCAACCTTTGTCCTTGGCCTCTTCTGCTTCCAGAGCTTCAGATGGACATGAGGAAGCGCATGTGAGTATGTTGACCACTGAGTGGTGGGGAAAGGAGGGGGACTGGATGAAGCTGGGGTCCCTGGGGTACTGCTACAAGGACCTACCTGGAAGGCATTTCTGGGGCTGCTGTTTCTGAAATGTAAAAAAAGCAAGGGAAACTGAGTCTCTAGCAGAACTTCCAGTGATTTCATGGGCCCTGGGATACTTGGGAAGGCACCATGTGGGTGTCCATGTTTCCACCTGTCATTCCTGGGTACCGACTACATGTGGGGTCAGCAGAGCCAATGGGTCCAGACCTGCAGATGAGAAGCATTCGGCATCTGAGCTTGACCTCGTCCTTCAGAGGCACCAAGGCCTCCAGGAAAAGCTGGCAGAGGAGATGCTAGGCCTGGCACGCAGCCTCAAGACCAACACACTGGCTGCCCAGAGTGTTATCAAGAAGGACAACCAGGTGTGGGAACATTGCAGCCTCTGCCTTGGGGCACATAAAGTTTTGCAGAAGAGGGGCATTAGGAGTGGTGTTTTGGTAAAGCCCAAGGAGGAGTGGCTGAGGTATACCCAGCAGAGAGCACAGCATCAGCTAGGGCCAGGAGCACAGGCCACTCTAGAGGTCATGCTTGGTCTCAGTCCTGTGACACAGTCCCCGCTTCTCTCATAGACCCTGTCACACTCTCTCAAGATGGCCGACCAGAACCTGGAGAAGTTGAAGATGGAATCAGAGCGGCTGGAGCAGCATGCGCAGAAGTCGGTGAACTGGCTGCTGTGGGCCATGCTCATTGTCGTATGCTTTGTGTTCATCAGCATGATCTTGTTTATCAGAATCATGCCCAGACTGAAATAAAGCCATCACACCACACACATTCAGTTAGTGGAATGGGATGCATGGGCTGCAGGGTGGTATCGGCCAGCATGCTTTCCACCCTGAACTCAGCCAACATAGTGGGGCCCTAATCCTGTCCTCCAAAATAACAAAGTTTTGTTAGACAGTTCAACCAGTAAAGGCACTTGCTACAAGGCCCAGCAACCTGAGTCCCACTCCGGAACACATTGTGGAAGGAGAGCACACACACAAATGAAATACAGTAAGAAGGGGAAAATGGCAAATGAAAAACTAATAATAAAGATATTTAGTGAAACTCAAGTTCCAGGGAATCTGACACCTCCAGCCTCTGGGCAGCTGCACTCACATACATACCTGCGCACCCCTAATTAACGTGATAAAAGTCTAAACATTTTTTTTTCCAGACTGGGTTCCTGGCTATCCTGGAATTCGATTTGTAGACCAGGCTGGCCCCCAACAAAGATCTGCCTGCCTCTGCCTCCGAAGTGCATGCACCACCACACCCGGCTTTTAAACTTTTTTTTGTAAGGGATAGGGCAATGACTCTTTGTAAAAGTGCTTGTTGTGGGGTGGTGGGTTGTGAATTTGAACCCCACATTGGATGCCAAGTGGAAGCAGGGCAAGGAAATCTACGGATGCCCAAATAAAGAATGACATATTTATTTGGGGAACACACAATGAAGATAAATAGCTGTTGCAGTCTTCTCCTGGAGATGCAGAATGCTCAGATCACAACCCAAGAGCCAGAGGGAGTCCCCTTCTCTTCCTTATAAGGGATCATATCCCCACACCATAAAGCTGATACCTTAAATCTATTGGTGGGACAAGATCCCACTACATGCATACCTAGACTCAAATCTTCAGTAATGCCAGGGGTGAGATGCATGAGCCTATGATCCCAGTTCTAGTAGAGACAGGCAGATCTACCCAGAGCTCTCTGACCATCCAGCCTAGCCAAAACAGGGTGCATTAGTCAAAACATGAGACGAAATAGAGGAAGAACCAACAACCTGAGCTGGACCCTGCATGTGCACACAGCCATGCCACTAAGTTGCTTTTTTTTTTTTTTTTTTTTTGTCTTTTAATACAATACTAAGAGAACTGCCAATTTGGTAAAAACTACCCATTTTCCCCAACAATATATTTGATAAATTGAGTAGGCCCGGCTGGGCTTTGGTGGCACATGCCTTTAATCCCAGCACTCGGGAGGCAGAGGCAGGCAGACCTCTGTAAATTAGAGGCCAGCCTGGTCTACAGAGCCAGTTGTCAAGGCAACCTCCAAAGCTACAGAGAAACCCTGTTTTGAAAAAAAACAAAAAAATAGAATAGGCCCAAACAGCGCCCCTAGAGGGCTAACTCAAATTGGGGTGTCAACATTCTGCAGGCCCCGCCCACCGGTCTTAGCCCCGCCCTGGCCAGCGGATCCGCAACAAGTTCCTGCACAGCTACCTCTCGGCAGCAGAGCCAGTCGCGGATCCGCGGCTCTGGGACAGGTGACATCGAGAGAGACGGCCCGAAAGACCGACAGGTGGACGGAGGCTGGGAATTCCGCGGGGACGTGGCCCCGGGCAGCGACGGTAGGCGCAGGGGTTGCTTCGACTCGCCGAGGGTCCCCGTAACGCCCAGGATCCCCTGCATCGCGCCCTTCCGGCTTCAGAGTCGGGGGCGGGGTCGGTGCCGCGCGGCAGCCAACCTAGTGTCTTCATGCAAATAAAGGCGTGGTGAGGCCTTCGCACTTCTTCAGCACCCCCTTCCGGGGTCTGCGGCTAAGGGGTGGAGTCTGGGTTGCGCGGCCAGCCAACCGCACTCGTGTATGCAAATACATGCAGGCCCCGCCTTCAGGCGCGGCCCACCCGGTTCTCTGGACGCCTGCAGACCTAGGTCCAGAAGCTTAGGCCACAACACTACTTGCAATTCGCGCCCCGCCGCCGGGGGGCGCCAGAACGTAGCCGCCCCGCGCATGCCCGCCCGGGAGTGCCTGCAGCCCCACTCGACCGGCCCCGAGCCCCGGGTGAGTGCCACACTTGGAGATCTCAGGTAGGGGTACCCCAGTTCTTGACACCTCTTAACGTTCCACGCTGCCCTTGCAGACGCTGGTGTCCTGCGCTCGTGGGCCGCAGTGCCAGCCCAGACCTCGGGAACTCTGCACAAGGCCCCGGAAGATCGTGTTTGCAGATGAGCTAAGCCCCCGGACTCAGGTGCAAGCAAAGAAACTTCCCAAAGCTCTGGGATTCTGCCCCAACCCAGTGCCTGACTATGAGCTGTGAGTGCCCCATTGTGGCTTTGTATCCTAGATTAGCCTCTGAAAGTCATGAACCTCCTGCCTCAGCCTCCTTCCTGAGTCGCCATGCTCGTATTCCCTCCCTGCTTCTTAATGCCTGGTAACTAGGATGGGTCTGTACCAAGTTAGGCAATGAGGACATTTTTGAGTTGGGGTCCCAGCATGGGCAAAAAAAAAACCAGCTACCATGATGAAGTGAAAAGACAGATTTCCTTCCACTCACACTGACCTCCTTCCAATCTGGTAGTAAGTACCCACCAGTGAGCAGCTCGAGGGACCGAAGTCGCTATGCCGCAGTGTTCCAGGATCAGTACGGAGAGTTCTCTGAGCTCCAGCGTGACGTGGGAGCCACGCAGGCTAAACTCCAACAGCTGGAGGCCCTACTAATGTCACTGCCCCCACCACGAAGCCAGGTCAGTGCTGACACCTCTAGTGTCCCCAGATCCCTGCGTCTGTGCTTCCTCAGCCTGTCCTCTCTTTCCACCCTCCTGAGTCCCTTCCCCACCTTGTCCTTTCAGAAGGAGGCTCACATGGCAGCTCGTGTCTGGAGAGAGTTTGAGAAGAAGAGAGCGGTGAGTGGAGACTCTTGGGGCCACAGCTTTGTCTGGTCCTGTCCTGAGACTGGGATCGTGTAATGAAAGCTGAGGTTTATAAAGAAAAAAAGCTGAACATCTTGAGGGCCTCAGGGTAGAGTGCCAAGAGGACTCCCTCAACTCTTGTTCCCCCAGGATCCTGGATTCCTGGAAAAGCAGGCTCGCTGTCACTACCTGAAGGGTAAACTGAAGCACCTCAAGGCCCAGATTCGGAAATTTGATGACCAAGGGGACAGCCACAGTGAGGACTCTGTGTACTTCTGAGTGGTGGTGGCTCCTCCTCCCATGGGGAACCAAGTGTTGTTGAGAATCCCAGGGAATAAATATGGATTAGGCACCTACTGTGTTCAATTGTCTATTTTGTTTTATTTCTCACAGAATCAACTCTTTGTCTCTCATTGATTCTTTGCATTGTTTTCTTGGTTTCTATTTTATTGATTTCAGCCCTCAGTTTGACTATTTCTTGCTGTCTACTCTTTCTGGGTGAGTTTGCTTCTTTTTGTTCTAGCCTTTCAGTTCTGTTAATTCACTAGTGTGAGATTTTTCTAACTTCTTTATGTAGGCATTTAGTGCTATGAACTTTCGTCTCAGCTCTGCTTCCATTGTGTCCCATAAGTTTGGGTATGTTGTGTGATCATTTTCATTAAATTTTAGGAAGTCTTTAATTTCTTTATTTCTTCCTTGACCCAGTAGTGACTCAGTTGATCATTGTTCAATTTCCATTTGTTTGTGAGTTTTCTGAAATTAATATTTCTATTGAATTCTAACTTTAAGCTGTGGTGATCCAATAGGCTACAGGGGTTTATTCCAATTTTTTGTATCTGTTGAGGTTTGCTTTGTTACCAAGTATGTAGTCTATTTTAGAGAAAGGTCCATGAGGTGCTGAGAACGTGTATTCTCTTGTATTTGGGTGGAATGTTCTATAGATGTCTGTCAAGACCATTTGAGTGTTCAGCTGTCTAAAAGCACTCCTTTTTACTGAGGGGGAAATGAGGTTCAGAGACAGGAACCTGTCCAAGGTCACAAGTGGGGAATGACCCCAGTGTCCTGGGGGTGTAGACAGAGGGCATAAACTGGTGACAGTCTGGGCTAAATGGTAACTGTCCGGAATGAATTATTTCTGTAAGCCTTGTGATGGAGACATGCCAGGTGGGGGAGACCCAAACCACCTGCCTAAGGCTTCCTGGGAAGTGCTTGGGACCTATCTGCAGCAGGTACCTCCTAATCTCCACATAGGTCCTCCCTTTACTGGGCCTTGGTGGGGTTAGAGTTGTGTTTGCTGCACAGATGCTAACCTCCTGAGCCACAGAGCTGAGCGGGTTCCAGGCCTGGCCACTAAGACAGGCAGTTACCCCCTGGTCCTGGAATGGTGACAAGCCCAAAACCAGTGAGCCCTCCATGTCTTCCAACAGAAAGGGCCATGTGTGGGATTTTGTAGGAAAAGCAGATCAGCTGGAGACTGAACATGAGGCCTGCCAAGCATAGATCTGATGCCCAATCCCACCCTGAAGTTGGGCCCCTAACTCCCCAGTCTCTCTCTCCCTCTCTTCCTGTGTAGCTCTGGCTGTCCAGGAACTCAGTCTGTAGTCCAGGCTGACCTCAAACTCAGAGACCCATGTGCCTCTGCCTCCCAAGTGCTGGCATTAAAGGTGTAAAGGTATGCAACACCACCCCTGGGCTACTCTCTCATTCAATACCAACATCAACACAGCTAAGTTTACACTTCACAGCCTGCCCCACCTTCTTTGTGGCAATTATAGAAACAGTGATTTATGTTACTTGAGAGAAGAAGCTGAACTCAAATTGACCCTAACGTAAAAAGGTAGGTTGAAGCCAGGCACAGTGGTGCACAGCTTTAATTGGGAGGCAGAGGCAGACAGATCTCTTGAGCTTAAGGCCAGCCTGGTCTACAGGGCAAGTTCCAGGACAGCCAGGACTACACAGAGAAACCCTGTGTCAAAAAATAAAAAGGCAGATTGATATTTGAAACACCCATGGCTTTCAGGTGTGGCTTGATTCAGCAAGTGCAAAGATCTCTTGGGAAGCCCTCTACGACAGGCTGTTATTTCTCCATAGGATGAGGCAAGACTTCCCACTGGAGCCTGCTGAGCACAGGTTCAGACCCAGGGTTATTTCCCCAGCATGGCAGAAGAAAAGTAGGTTGAGCAAGTAAGGGAATATCTTTATTATTGGCCATGATTTTATCATCTCACAGTGCCCATCATGGGCCATGTATCCAGGGGACTCTCCTGGCACATAGTAGCCCTGTCCAGCTGCAGTGGCCCTTCCCCATCACACCAGGGTCACCATCACACTGGCTCCTCAGCCCCACTCTGAGCAGGGGCTGCTGGGAGGACAAGGCTGGGGCCTGGGAGAGCAAATTCTTTTTGGTTTCATGATTATTTAAAAAACAAAACAGACAAACATTTCACAGTCTTTTAAAAAAGAATGAGTCTCGGAGAGATAACTGGGATCCTGACCCCAGGTCCCTGCATCCACATGTCCCCTCAAGGCAGCCATCATTAGCCCGAGCCATAGGGCCAATTGAAGGTGCTCCCTGACAGTAGCATGTCCCGGATAAGCGTCTCGATGGGTGTCTTGCCAACCAGGCGCATGAAGAAAAGCTGGGAGATGAGGGACGCTGGCACAGCACGCAAGGCTGGCAGCCGCAGCAGCAGGCGCCCAAAACGCTGAGGCTGTGATGGGTACTGGGCACGCACATACTCAGTGAGGGCCACCTGTGCCTTCTCCTGCAGACTCTCCACATGGGCTGGGTCAGAAAGGCCACAAGCATCTGCAGGAGGCAGGAACGACAAGTCACGTTTGGGAAAGCAGGAAGAGAGGCCTATATGGGAGAGGGGTAGGAATACTCCTGGAGGAAGGCATGAGAAGAGGTAGGACCCAGGCACAAATGGGAGTATCTAAGCTAGGGCCCACCACATACAAGCCATGTAGAACCCAGGGAATAGGCTCAGCCCCGCCCTGTAGGAGGGGCATTACTGATCTGTCCCATTTGTGGGCGGGGCCTCCAAAGCCACGTCCACCCGAGGAGCAGGGTCAGGTTGGGGTTAGACAGTATCAATGCTGCCCTGGAACCACTAGCCTCTTGCATGTACTGGGGCGAACTAGGTGAATGGACTTAGCCTGTAGTGTGTGTGGCCTGGGTCAGTGTTGGGGCAGTACCCGGGATAGGGAGCGTGGCCTTTGGACTGGAAAGTGGCTTGGTTGGGAGTCTGGTTTGTGGCAGAGTGGGGCCTGCTTAGAGGCGTGGCTAGTCCGTGGGAATAGGCTGCTCAGCTGCAGCCTATAGGGGCCTGATTGCTTGGACGCGCCCTTGGAGCATGGAGCTTGTTCCGGGCGTGGCCTGTCGGAGAGAGGTCAGTCTGTGGGCGGGGCCTGGGTTGGGACCAGGTCATCCGAGAGGAGGCAGGGCGAGCTCACCGGGCGTGAAGAGCGCGATGGCCTTGAGGCAGCCGTATTCGGCGGCGTCCACCTGCAGGCGGCCCAGCTTGTCCACCTGCTCCTGGAAGGCGCGCACCTGGTCCATGAAGGCTACAGCGCGCTCGGCGGCCATGGGCGCGGCGTGCAGCCCCGCGGCGGCCAGCAGTGGCGCCGTGTGCAGCGGCAACGCCGCCTGCGCCGCGTTCAGCACGAACAGCTCGCTCCAGCTTAGCCGCAGCAGCGCCACCTGGTCGGCGGCCGGCAGGTCGGGGAAGAAGGGCGCGTGGCGGGCCCACTCGACCGTGCTGAACAGCAGACGCGCCGCCAGCTCGCACACGTTGTCGATACCCAGCACGGCGCCGCCGCCGCCGAAGCGCCCGGCCGCCGGGTAGGGCTCGGCGCGCAGCAGTTGTGCGATCAGCTCGGACACCGGTGGCCCCGCGAACGGCTCGACGCCCGCCGCGCCCGGGGGACTGCAGGCCGCGGGGCCTGGGAGCGCGTGCGGGATGCGGCCGCGCTGCACAGCTGCGAAGACAGGGCGGCGTCAGGCGTCGGTGCAGGAGGGTCATCCCCACCCCGTGTGGCAGCACAGGGTACTAGGCGCGTGCTGGCCACTAGAGGCCTGTCTGCTCGCGCCTGGCGCCCACCCCCAGGATTTCCACCAGCGAGCCCCCCTCCTCCTGCACTGTGGAGACCACTTCTGTCAATCACCAAGGACTGGATCTGTGTCTGGCCTCTCCCACCACTCACAGCTCCCCTTGGGACAGTATCACTGAAGTAGCAAGGCTGTGGTCCCCAATGGCAGTGGCTGTCATTGTTACCTTTGCTCAGAGAGGTGCATACTAGTCATCCCAGTCCTGGAGCATGGAGGCAGGAAGGTCAGGAGTTGAAAATAAGTTTGAGGCCAGCCTGGGCTACAACAAGACCCTGTTCCAGAAAATAACTGAAAAGAGAATACAATACTTATCTGAGTCCTCATCATGGATGGGATGAAAAGGAAACTGAGGCACCGAGGGGCACAGGTTTTAGCATGGGGAAGGCAGCCTGGACATGGAGCCAGGAGGCCGCCAATGATTGTGTTTTTATGAACTCACACCTGGCTCACTGGTGAGTAAACTCCAGGTGGAGCCAGGAAGAACCCAACCCAAACATCAGATGCAGAGGCAATCTCCCAGCCCCCTATAGCTGGACATGGCCTCAAGTGGTCCCACCCTCACCGTTGCTCCATCATCCGGGTCTACTCTCAGGCCTTTGCCCAAGATGTTCCAAGCCTCAAAACCCCACTCCTCCCCTGCCTTTCTCTTCTTCCTCTGTCTATACTGCTAGCATTCAAATCCCAGCACCCATCTGCTTTCTGTGCCTCAGTTTCTTCATACGTAAAATGCAGCACATGACCATTAAGGTATGTAAGAATCTACATAACTTTACTTCTAATAGTGCCTGTCTGGTGTGAACGGCTGGGTGGATGGTAAATTCAGCCAACAGCCATTTATTGAACACCTATTATGTACCAGACCCTGGAGCAGGCCTGAAGATATACAGGTGAAGAGTGTCAGTTTCTGAGCAAGGCAGATGTAATTGGTGACTCTGAGGACCTAACTCTAAGGTGAGGGAGGGAGCCAGGCCCAAATTTGGAAGGAACAGCTGTGTAAAGGCCCTGAGGCAGGAATGCACTAGGAGCAAGAGTCCTAGTGATAGAAGAGAGATCACAGGCTCTGATTAGAGACTTATCAGGGCTTTCCATCTAACAGACAAGTCCAGACAGAAATCTAGGCTGGGCAAGGACAGGGCAGGAGTCACCTTCAAACTTAAGGGGACCAAAGAGTCAACAAGTAAGGTTGATATTTTTCATTGTGAATGTGTGTATGTGTCATTTTTTCCAAACCAGGTTTTGCTATGGAGCCCAGGTTGACTTCAAACTGGAGATCCTCCTACTTCAGCTTCTAAGTACTGGGATGACAAGCCTGCCCCACTATGCCTGACTATGCAGTCTGAGGCAGAAGACCTTAAGCAATGGCTGTTCTTGAGTCCACAAAAGCCCCATTAGAAAGTGACCAATGTCAAAATGAGCAACAGTTAGGTAACTTTCTAGCCTGACCCACACCCCAGAGATCAGCCCAGGCTCTCAGCCCTCAGGGCACCTGAATTCTAAGGTGACCTGATAGCATGAGGCCCAGGTGTCCAGTGTGTCTGTCCAGCCAGGGCTCCTGGGCAGCTGGACCTCCTTCTGGCAGCCTTTGGCTGTAATCTAGCTGAGTCCTGCCTCCAACAAACATAGAGAGCAGAGAGTAAACACATTTCAAAATAAATAAAAATCCCACTTGGGAAAAGGACGAGGTCTCCAAGGGAAAGGGCATGTCCTCTGAGGCCAGAGGTCAGGCAGGGCCTGGGAAGAGCTCAGTGGGCTGTAGCCCACAACCAGGCATCCAGTATCCTAGCTAGAGCCCCACAGCCTGTGTCCTAGAGTTAGTTGCCTTGCTCACCCTCAGACCCTGGCAAGAGCGCAGCTGTGGCTCCACAGCGCGGCTACTCACCCTCCTTGCGCATCCCCACCCGGAAGCACTTCTTGAGGCGACAGTACTGACACTGGTTCCGGTGGTGCTGGTCAATCTGACAGTCTCGGTTAGACCTGGAGACAGAGGTCAGTGTTCCCAGTGACACCCACATCCTCTGTGCCTATGAACCCTTGAGAAACACCAGTGGGGGCTCCCTGGATTTGACGGTAGCCCCAAAGGCATGGTGTAAGAATTCAACTTGGAAAGGGCAACTGCACCAAAACGGGTGTTGAAGGCCAGCGCACAAGGAGAGCATGTTAGAAATGGTTTTTGAAGCCTGAAAAGAAGCTCCCCAAGAGGGTAGAAATGGAGAAGCCTTTTCTGGCAGAGGATAAGGTCAAACATATTTGAAACTCAAAAGGATCGAGAATGCATCCTTTTCATTTTACTTGGGCACCAGCAGGCCAAAAGTCAGCTGTAGTGTAGTGAAAACACTGTGCAGCCAGCGCTGCAGCCTGTGATAAGAATGAATAACAGAGACTTTCCTCCTCTGAGAACCCCACCCCCCAGTCTCTCCATAAGCTTGGGATCCTTCCTCGGGTCAGCCCTTGGAGAATGCCTCACCATGCCCAGTCTGGGCACCAAGGAGCATCCAGCTTTACACATCAGCACTGGGTTCTTCCCCAGCCTGTTCCTGTACCAGGCTGCAGCTGCTGTGTTCGATACACAGGAGAGACCAAGTGGAGGGGGTCTTGGGGGTCTCCAGCCCCAGGTGGGGTTCTCTGGCCAGGGTCAGTAGAGCTCAGACCCTGTGGCTTCTAAAGCCCCCCCCCCAGCAAGGGGCCCAGTTGAGTGGAGAGAACTCAGGCACAGCCAGAACAAAGCCAGCAAGCAGGCGGGGATGGGGGTGGGAGGTGGGGGGCTGTGGAGGATCAGAGCGGCCAGGCGGAACTGGCCAGGCCCTGGGTGGGTGAGCAGATCTGCTCAGGGAAGGCCTTCTGTCTTTCCTTCCCGACTGCATGGTTGGGAGAGATTAAAACCCACAAAACACAGTAAGTTTTTCCAGCTACCGCACCTAAAGTGTATATGCTTTGCTCAAAGGCGTGGCTTAATTCCAATTGCTGTCCCAATCTTTGTATTTTTGTTGTTTTGGGATGGGGGGTGGGGAGGTATCCCCTCACTATGCTATCAGACTCTTGGGCTCATGCCATCCTCCTGCTTCAGCCTCCTGAGTGGCTGGGATTATGTGACACACATGGCCAACTTCCCAACCCAATCTGAGCAGACCCTGATCACAGACTGCTTGTGGCTCTCTGCTGCCCTCAGCCCAACACATCAGAGCCCACTTGACTAGGCTGGGCCTGGGAGAGCTCACCTGACAGTACAGTCCACTACACCCTCATCTGGGGTTTCCTCTTCTGCCTGCCAGGGCTTCTGAGGCCACTTCCTGATAGCCCCCTCCAGACAGCTGCTGACCCACTCAGGTTCAGAGAGGGACAATGACCACACAAAGTCACATAACATAGGTTCTAAGGAACCCAGAGAGTAGGTGGAACCCGGAACCTGTCCCAGCCTCCTCCACTCTCCCAAAAGACCCAGCAACTCCTTCCAGACACAAGAATGAGGCCAAAGTCTGGTGGCCCAGTTACAGCTAGAGGAGGGGAACAAAGCAGGTCCGCACTAAGTCCAAATTCTAACATGGTGGCACCCCCCAACTAGCTGATAACCACTAATAACCAAGGGGGAGCCCAACTTCTCATTCCATCAACTCCACATCCCAGCCACCATAGCTCTACTTGCTAAGCCCACGGGGCCAGGACTCTTCGGCCCAATTTCTCTAAGGCTCAGCTCTGGGTACCTGGGAAAAGGGGCTGTCTACTCTGCTCTAAGGCATTGCAGGCTCCTGGGGATTCACAGCCGAGCTTCTGCATGCCTAGACAGAAAGTGGTCTGCAATCCCTGGCTTGATCACCCAATCTCTTCTCCAGGGGACTTTCTGTCCCCAGAGGCTGCCAGTAAGCAAGGCCACGCCCTGCCGGGCTCGGCAGAGGGGTCGGCATTTCCCACCAGTCTCTCCTACTGCGGCACCAAAGTTTAAAGGATCATCCCGGATCCCCAAGACTGCACCAGCCCGGGAGTGGGGGGGTGCGGTCAATTCCGGTGGCCTTGCTGGCCCTTCGGCGTCGGCTTCCGGTGACCCAGAGCTCATGGGGTGCCCCTCTGATGGACAAGCCCAGGCCCCCGTGCACAGCAGCCCCCCGCAGCCTGCGAGGGTAACCATCCCAAGCCACCCGGGCATCCCTCCAGCTGCCGGTGCTGGAACGACTTTGGAAGTGATATTTGACCCAAGGGCGCGCCGGATCGATCCGCGCGGCCACAGACAATAGCCCCTGGACGCCGCCAGGCCCGCGGTGCGAATTGCACGTCTGATTCCCACGGGGCACCACGCGTGACGGGCACCCACGAGAAAAGGAGCCCTGGGGGTTAGAAAGGCTATCCCCACTCCTGACATCACCCACGAGCCCTCCCCGCGCGGCAGAACCAGCTCTTTAGAGCAAGAGAGGAGCAAAGACCACCTGCGGGGAGGGGGGGTCTGCACGCTTGCATCGCCAACTGTATACCGGATCGCGGCCGGGGCCGGGCCCGTGGCCTGGGCCCGGATACGGGAGCGGGGAAGGTCAGCGCCAGGCCCAAGGTGACCGAGCAAGTCCGGGCCGGCCGGGTGGCCGCGCGTGGAGCTCACCGGCAGGTGTAGCTGAGGTTGCGGCGGATGCTGCGCTTGAAGAAACTCTTGCAGCCCTCGCAGGTGAACACGCCGTAATGCTTGCCGCTGGACTTGTCCCCGCACACCACGCAGTCCACCTGCAGCCCTGGGCGCTCGTCGTCGCCCGGCTCCGCGTCGCTGGCCACCCCGGGAGGCGAAGCCGAATCCTCCTCGGCTGAGCGTGGGTAGCTCCCACCGGCCTTGTCCACGCCGTTCGTGTCGCCTCCGGGGCCGCCCCAGCCACTGGTCACCATGGCCATAGCCCCCGGGACGGTGGGGCTGGGGCGCCCCGGCGCGAGTCCGTCCCCTCCGGGCACGCCTGGCGACCCGAGGGGGACCCGGCTATCCCGCGCGCATACAGCCCGCGCACTCGGGGGGCTCGAGTCGCACCCCCCGAAAAAAGTTTTGCGGCAACTTCCTGCGGCCGGTCCGCGCGCCCGGCAGGAACTGGTCGGGCCGGTTCCAGGCCAACTTTCCCACGCGTGCCCGCGGCCAACGGGGGCGCGCTAGAGGCGCGGGTCTGGGGCACCCGGGTCCCGTGGTCTGGAGTCCTGGGGACCCGGTGGGGACGCGCGGGCCATGGCCCGGCCCCGCCGCCCAGGCCAACTTAGTGGCTCGCCATCCGAGGGCGCACGCGCGTTCCCGAGTCCGGGGGGGAAACTTTGGCCGCAAGTTGCGCGACGAGGGGGGAGGGGTGGCGGGAGCGCGCGCCGGAGCCCCGGAGTCCCGGAGGACGCGCGCCGCCGGCCGCAATCGCGGAGGTCCGGGCGATAGAGCCGAGTGGAGAGTGCGGCCCGCGGCCTCCCGCGGCTCCTATCCCCGCCGAGCACGCGTGTGACCGGCCTGGGCCTGCGCCTGGGCCCGAGCCTCGGCCTCGCCCTGGCGCTCGCCGCCGGCCCCGCGCTGCGGCCGGCCTGACACCCGCGTTCCATCGGCGCCGGCGGGGGCGGGGCGGGGGCGCGCGGCGCGGCCGGGGGCGGGCGCTCGTTGCCCCGGCGACAGCCGTCCTTATAAGGGCATGGGGTAGCCGCGCGCCGCCCGGAGCCGTGGGCCGGCGAGAGGGCGGGGCGGGGCGCGCGGCTGACCCTCCCCCACGCGGCCGCGCAGCCTTAACCCCTGCACGCCCTGCCCCGGGCCTCTGCGTGCTCGGTGCTCGCCGCGGGACAGCTGCGCCCGGGCACGCCCCCGCCGCACACGCGTGCGCTCCGCATTGCTCCGCACGGCTGCCAGCTGGAACCGGCCGTCCCCTGCCTTCCCCAAAGTCTCCGAGGCCGGTCCCGCCTCCGCCCCGCGCGCTCTGCTCGGGTGAACACCTGGTGCCCAGAGTCTGTGGGTGGGCGGGGACGCGGCCTCCCGAGGCCTGCTGGCCGAGCAGTGAGGTCAAGGGGTCCCCCTCGCCTTTCAGGCCTCGGGGCGGGGAGAGGCAGGGCGCCTGTCGCCCCTCCAACGTGGCCCGAGGCGGCTGGCCCGAGGCGGCCGTCCGGAAGGCGTGCCAGTCTCTGGCTGTTGTCCCCGGTCCCCTTCATTTCCTTTTCTTTCTCTTCATAGAAAGGGCTTGGCCTGGTGACCGGCTGGGCCACAGATGTCTCCCCTGCTCCCGGAGTCTCCCAGCTGCCACCATGCCCCTGAGCCTCCCGCCCCCTCTACAGACCCAAGTTCTACTGGAACAAGCATTTATTAAGCACCCTTTGTATGCAGAGCACCTCCAGGGCAAGCGTTTATTAAGGCCTAAGTGGGGAGCTGAGGCCTGACTCCAGGTCTGTTAACGTTTAACCCTGTTAACCGGCTGGAAAAGCTGCTTGCGGGTGACCTCTCATCCCTGAGTCACTATTCTGCCTCCTGTGCAGGCCTGGGTCCAGTGTGGATACTAGGGCACGTGGCCTACTGGGACCCCCCTGTGCCCTAATTCCTGTTCTGTCCCTAAGGGGCCTTGTGAAGATCATCCCACAAGATGAGACCACAAATGGGGGGGTCTTTAAAGAAAAATTGAGGTTCAGGCTTCTGCCGGCCAAGGGCATCTGGTCCTGCACCGAGAATAGTACCAGGATGCCATGTGAAGATTCAAAGACAGAAAGCAGGAAGGACTAAGGTTAAACTCAAGCAAGGACTTCCCAGGAATCTGATTGGACAAGCTCTGCCCAGAAAATAAAATAGTTTTGTGGTCATAGTTGTTTATTTGGGGTGAGGGCAGGGGTCCTAGGCTGGACTAGAATCCTTGGTGGCAGTATCTCAGAGATTAAAAGTGGGGGAGTGGGGAATTTAGGAGGGAAAAAAGGCTCCTGAAGGACTGGGTCACAGAAGCCCAAACACTGGGATTTTGGGAACCCAAAGGGAGGGAGAGTTTGAGGAGAGAGAAGTGAATTCAGCATACCGCCCCTGTCCCATATCCCCACCACCCCCACTCCTGGGGCCCCACTAAGGGTGGGCAGGGCCATGCCACGCCCCCATAACCCCTGCCTGTGGCCCCGAGGTGACATTTGACCTTGTGGCTGCCAAGGACCTGGGGACAAAGACACAGGGACCATCTGCCGCTGGGATGCCCGTGGGAACAGCCAGAGACGGTTCGAGCAGCCTGGGAACCTGCCTCCCACCCCCCAACCTTGCGACTTTGGCTGGCCACTAACGATCTGGTGGGTACAGGTCAGAATGTAGACAGTTCAGTGGGCAGAGGTGCTTTGCTGCTAAAGCTGAATTCGATTCCAGGGACCTGCAGGGTGGCATGGTAGAATCAGACATGTAGGAAGGAGGGCAGTGAAAGAGGAAACAGTCCCCCCACAAACAAACACCCCACACCAGCAAGGTGACCTGCTTCACAGCCCACAGAGAGTGGGACATACACACGTCCCCAGCCCCAGCAGCCACCTCAGCCTTGGCTCATGCTGCTTTGGGACAAACAGCTAGCTAGCTTCGGTATACCCACATAGGTGTGGCCTGCAGGGCCCACCTCCAGGTTAATCCCCTTCTAGGGTTTCAGCCTGGAGGGGACAGCTGGACCCCATCCCAGCCCCCACTGCAAGGGGTGTGGCCCAAACACTGATACTATACACACACACACACACACACACACACACACACACACACACACACACAAAACACTCCTTCCTTCCAGAGGAGCCCCATTCAGAAGCCCTGACCTTCTCTCCCCACAAGTACAGGGTGGCAATGTTGTGATGTGACAGGTACCCCCACTCAGAGGATCTCTGCCACAGCTACATTAAAATTTCTTTTTCACTATTTTAAATTACGTGTGTGGATGGCCTAGGAGGCCAGAGGTGCCGCCAGACACTGGTGCTGGGAACCGGACTCTGGTCTTCTCCACACACCCCCAACTTTAAAAAAAAAAAGTAGTATTTGTGGACACACAGGGCTCTTGTGTGGAGATCAGAGGACAGCTGTGTGGAGTCCATTCTCTCTTTCTGAACTGAACTCAAATTGTACTTAACAGCAAGGACCTTTACCCAATAAACCGCCTCTCTGGCTCCATTTTTAGTTTTATTTTCAGTTTTGTTTGTTTGTTTTATATTTGGTGTATGTATGTGTGGTTTGCTTGCATCTGTGTCTGTACCATGTGTGTGCCTGATGCCCAAAGAGGCCAGAAAGGGGCGTCAGATCTCCTGGAACTGAAGTTACAGACAGTTGTGAGCCACCATGTGGTGCTGGGAACAGAACCCATGTCAGGTCCTCTGCAAGAGTGGCCAGTGCTCTTAACCACTTTGCCATCTCTCCAGCCCCTTATTCATTTATTTTTTAGATGCTGTCTCATGTAGTCCAGGCTGGCCTTAAATTCACTATGTAGTTGAGGATAGCCTTGAACCCTGAGTGCTGGCATTGCAGGTAGTCACAGTCTTCCTGTGTGCAGTGCTGGGGAATAGAACTTGTGCATGCTAGGCAGGCCCTCTTCCCACTCGGCCCCAGCCTCTGTGTGCTACAGAAGCCTTCCCCATGCTTGGTAACGGCTGCGGATGGAACCCAGGCCTCCTCAGCACAAGCTGGTGGGCTGGGCAGGCAGAGGCAGCACATGCTGAGCAACCACTCTGCCCGTTTCCCAAAGCAGTCTGAGATTCCCCTCCCCAGCATCCCTGGAACAACCTGAACCCTTTCCATTCCATCCCCTTTTAGGAAGATACTCTGGCCAAACACAGCACCTCCTCAGAAGGTGGTCCGGACACAAGGGACAAAGGACAGGTGGTATGATGTCATGACAGGACACTTTTGTTTAATTATGAGTGTGTGTGGTGTGTGTGTATGTGTGTGTGCATTACTGCAGAGTCTGTAGAGGCCAGAAGGGGGTGACAGATCCTGCTAGCTGGTGTTACAGCTTGGGAACTGAACCCAGGTCCTCTGCAAGAGTAACACAGGCTCTTAACCTCAGAGCCATCTCTCCAGCCCAGGAAGGATACTTTATGACATGTCTGCCACTCCTATGTGTTACATATAAGCTTGGTCTGGATCCTACAGGAAGGTCTGGCCAGGTTGGGGAACCCTGGGGATCCCCAGGGCTCTGGCTGTGGCTGACAACACTGAGAGCTCCTCTGCCTGCTGGGCCTGCATCTGAGCCACCTGCTTCTCCAACTTCCGGCATTGCTCCTCCTGCTTCCGGTGGGCTCCTCTGAAGGCCAGGACCAGGGAGCTGCAAGGGGGAGGGGAGAGTCCTGGCTGAGGTGTCTGAACTAAAATCAGGGGTTGTGGGCTTGCCTGTTGCCTCAGAAGTGGAAGACTGAGGCCCTGAGAGCCAGGGATGCTTCCAAGAGGGCCCGAGTCGCACCTATGAGCCTTGCACAGCTCTTTGTTCAGCTCTGCACTCTGAGCACGTCTGGTTCGCCCCTTTTGAGCCTCCTGTTCCAGCTGCCTTCGCAGGGACTGCAGCTGTGCACGCAGGTCCACGGCTCTGCAAGGGGGTGAGAGACAATCCCAGCCACTCCCAACCCTCTCCTTCCAACACACCTGCAGACAGCCGGCTGGCTGCACACTTCCGGTGTCTTCTGTATACAGTGCTCCCAACCACATCTGCTTACCCACCCACCCCAGCCAGGCCTTGACACACACCGGGCCAGGGATGCCGACAGCTCCTGGGATAAGGTCTCAGAGTCCCACGTTCTGCCCATCTGGCCACCAGGGAGGACAAGAGGACCCTAAGGGAGGCAGGCAAGAGAAAAGAGACAGGTGTGAACAGTATTCAGCCCAGATCCGGGCCAGAGCTTCGTTTTGTTTTTGGAGATTGGGTTTCTGTGTAGCCCTAATTGCCCTGGAACTCACTCTGTAGACCAGGCTGGCCTTAAACTCACAGACATCTATTTGTCTTTGCCTCCCAAGAGCTGGGATTAAAGATGTGCGCCATCACACCTGAGCAGATTTATTTTTATTATTACATGCATTTATTACATTGATTTATTAATGTTGTGTGTGCATGCACACATGTGCCACAGTGTACATGTGGAGGCCAGAAGACAAAATGTGGGTGTGGGTCCTCTTTCCGTTATGTGGGCCTAAGTGAAAGGAATAGACACACACCTGTGTCTCCATGAGGGCTGGGGGTCTCCCCTTTCCGAGGCTTGACTCAGGCAGGCCTCACTGTTTTCTTTTTCCAGGTGCTGGCAGAACTTCACTGTGCTTTAAGCACTAAGTGATTGGGCTTCCTCCACCACTCACCAATCACACCACTCTCTCCTGTACACCCCCTCCCTTCAGGGAGCTGAGAGTTACAGCTTGCCTGTCCTTGGGTTTTCCTTTCAAATTCTAATTGAGCTTCTTTTGGCTACATTCTTAAATTATTTAATTAATGAGGCTAAGAACCCCCAAAGGGATCCTGATTCCCTAGCTTTGTTGAGGCACCCCAAGATTTCCAGTAACCCTTCTTTACTGATTTCTATTTTTTTTTTTTTGATATTTTAAAAGATTTATTTATTTTCATTTTCCCGTATATGGGTGTTTGCAAGTCTTTGTCTGTGCACCATGTGCCCACAGCTCAGAACAGTGCGTGGTGAACACCGTATGGGTGGTAGCAATCGAACCTGGGTCCTCGGCAAAAGCAGCCATCGCTCCAGCTCTGCTTCCCACCTTTTAAAAAATTCTTTAGTTAGAAGATTTGCACCCCTGGGGATTGAACTAGGGTCTGCAGCAAGCGCCTTTACCACAACTTGTTCTTTGGCAGGAGGATGCTCAGAGGCGCATGGTGGCGGGCGTGGTACCTGGTAGTGCTGCTGCTGGCCCTCCTCGTCCTCCTCTTCGCTGCTCGGGTCCTCGCTGCTGCCACCGGTGCTACCACCGCCCGCCAGGTGAGCGCGCTCCCAGCGAAGCTGCTGCAGGAGCAGCAGGTGGGCGGGGCCCTGAGCCCGCAGCGCCGCCTCCCGCAGCTCCAACCCGCGCTTCTCCCGCCTTGACAGCTGCAGCTGCAGTACCAGGTCCGCTAGACTGTCCTGAGGGAGCAGGGGTGGGGGGTGAGAGTCAGCTCCCGGGGTGGGGGGTGTGCCCATGGAGGTCAGGAAAACACTCTGACCTGAACCTTGGCCTTCATCTAGTAAAAGCCACTGCTGGGAAATGGCATTGTGAAAGTGGTTAGAATCTCTCAGACCTCACATCTTTATATTTGCTGGTTGAAAATTATTTTATGACAGGGGGAATGGTGCAGGGCATAGTCCCAGCACTTGAGGTAGATCCAGGTGGAGTTCAGTGAGTTCAAGGCCAGTCTGGTCTACATGAAGAGTTCCAGGCAGGCCTAGGGTGCCTGTATAAATGGGTTTGCACACGATTGTAGTGCTGGAAGAGACCAGAAGAGAGCTTCAGAGCCCCCGGAGCTGGAGTTAAATGGCTGTGAGCCGCCATGGGGTGCTGGGATCTGAACCCTAATCCTTGAGACCAGCCTGCCCTCCTAACTATTGAGCCATCTCTCCAGTCCAATTCTTACATCTTTTAGATTTTTGCTTATTATACATTTCTGAGACCCGGTGTCACCAGGACCTCAGTCCAAGGGCTGGGCTGTGCAGCCCTGACCCTCTTGTCTCAGCTCCGGGTGCTGGACTACAGGTGTGTACCACCATCAGGCCTAACCCTTTTGTAGAAGGGGTAGGGGAACAAGGGTTCTCATTTACCCTAGGCAAGCATTGTACTGAAGAACCACCCTGCCCCCGACCCCAGTAACTCATTGCCCTGGTTGAAGCCCTGCTTCTCCCATGGAAAGAGGATGTAGGGAAAGCAGCTTGCAATGGCTAATTTTGGATGTCAGCTTGATGGGATCTAAAGTCACCCCAACCTTGTGGAATGCCTGTGAGGGAGTATCTAAATTAGAGTAGCGGGCTGGGGACCTGCAGCCCCAGCGCTGGGGTCCTAGGTTGCATGCACCTCTCTCTGCTTCCTAAATTCAGGTGCAATGTGACCAGCTGCCTCGGGCTCCGACAGTCAGGACTTGATGACTGCCATGACAGACTGCATCCTGGAACTGTCAGCCAAGTTGGAACAAATTTTCCCTCCTGAAATTGTTCCTGTCAGGGATTTCATCATAGCCACATGAAGGCAACTTATAGAATCTTATGGAAAACCCAGTCAGGAGAAGAAACTCCTATGTATCCCTCAAAACCTCAACTCCAACTCTCTTTCATATAAGAAACTAGCTGCCCATCCAAGGGAAACCCTCCTTGCCTCTGGTCTCCAATGACATCATCAGGGGTATGTTGTGACAGTGTCAGCCACATTCCTACCCGAACATGCACCAGATTCTGCTGGATCTGAGACTTCTCCAGCCGGGGCAGGGCTGGGCCAGGCTGTATCTCCAGAATGGTCTGTACTGTTGCATCTGCATGGGGCATAGTGGGCCTGGGTGCAGAGGCAGGGCCAAGCGGTGGGGGGATCTTCACCAGAGCCCAGCGGTCCCGAAGATGCTGGACATAGCCATGGAGCTGAGCAGCCAGTTCCTGTGGTGTAGGCTTGTCCACACTGCTGCCCTCTGGGCTACAGGAGACAGGAGAAAATGTGTGCTATACAGCTGTTCTCAAGACGCAGCCCCAGGAGCCACCACAGTCCTGTGCTAGCTGGACAGTCTTCCAGCAAGATAATGTGGCAGGCTCAGTCAGTAGAGTGCTTGTAGCTCAGTCCATAAAGAGCTTGCCTAGCATACATGAGGCACCATATAAACATCCCAGTTCTCAGGAGGGTCAGGAGTTCAAGGTCATTCTCAGTTACATAGTGAGGTAGCAATCAGGCCACCAAGGGAGTCTGAACTTAATTCTCTGGTGTGCGTAGCCCACACTGGGCATTGAGGCTGCACTGGCAGCTAAGACTCTCTTCAGTACAGAGACAAAACCAGGAGCTCACAGGCATTTTGATGGACAGTACCTAGATCTGTATTGCTAACCCTTCCAGATCTACACAGGGCTTCACCAATGCCTCCTTCCTGGGCTACACCATGCCCTGGATACATCCTGTAGCTCTTTTCTCTACTTCCTGTTGCTATGATGGATTGACACCTCTGAACCAAATTAATAATTTTTCTTTGCACTGATTTTTCCTGCTGGCTTCAGAAGTTGAAATTAGGGTCTGTGCAATTGGTGCTTTGTGACATATACACACATATATATGAGACAGGGTCTCATTGTGTATGTAGCCCAGGCTGGCCTAGAACTTGCTGTATAAACCAGGCTGGCCTTGAACTCCTTAAATTCTGCCTTCTGAGCGCTGGGGTCAAAGACATGTTGTCGCCACACCTGGTGTCAGGCAAATTTAAGCACCACTGAGTAACTAATGTACTTGAGTCAGGCCTTGTGCCAGCCAACCATGATGAACTTAGCACCACCCTGGGCAACGACAAGGACAGTGACATTAAAATCCTACATGTAGCAGGCTCTGGGACATACCCCCACATAGACCTGCATAGCTCTTACACTTCCTGCAAGTACCTGAACTGGGGTGTTTCTCCATCCATAGCTGCTTCCTTCTCCACCAGCAGCCTCGCTGCCTCCTTCTCAGCAGCCTGCAGGTCACTCTTGGGGGCTCCAGCTCCAGCCCCAGCCATCCTCAGGGCAAGCAGCACCCCATATGCCTCCTCACAATCCTCACTGTAGGATGGGATCTGAGTGTTTCAACACTCAGCCTCAACCCAGTAAGAGCCAGGCAGAGCTCTCTGAGTTCAAAGCCAGCCTGGGCTACATAGCAAGTTCCAGACCAGCTGGAGCTACACAGTGAGATCCTGTCTCCAATAAATATACAACAACAAACCACAAAAACACAACTGCCACCCTCCATAGTTTATGGGTCACAACAAGATCTCATGGTGAAGCAGTGTGCTTTCTGAAGTTCCCATGTCCCTCTGTGCATAGGGCCAGCCCCATTCTGCCCCCAGCCACCACCATCATTGGTAGCAGACACAGACCTATATTGCAGGGCCAGGTGCAGGGCTGTGGCCTCAGCCTCCCGCTGGCCCAGCTGCATGCTGAGGTTCTCACAGCGGCCCTTGTAGCCCTGGAGTACAGCCAGCAGGAGGCGGTTGAAGCACTTCAACTTCTCAATGCTCCTGTCTCCAAAGGTAGGCAACAGGGAAGAGGAGTGAGACCCCAACCAGCTAGATCCCAGTTTCTTCCCCACCCCCTCACAACCCAGTGGCAGGAAGCATGGTGTCCTTAAAAGCTCAACAACAGTGACTCAGTCACTCACCCCTGGAGCTGCTCCATCTCTTCTTCCATGAGGTGCATCTTGCGGGCTGAATGCTGTGTGGAAAAGCACCCAAAGATCTGGGTGCTAGAGTCACTCCAGAGGTGTTGGAGAAGAGGCTGAGCCAAGGGGGAGTCCTGCCAGGAGGACATGACTTGATTTACTCATCATCCTCCCTTTTTGCAGGACTGGGGGTGGAACCAGGGCCCTGGAACATATTATAAATCTGCTGCAACACTGAGGCACAACTGCAGCTTTGGTTTGTGTTTTTGGTGTGTGTGCATGCACACGTAGTGGGATGTATGCCCATGACACATGAATAGATGTCAGAGCACAACTATGGGACTCAGTTCTCTGTTTCTACTCTGGGAGTTCCAGGGATTGAACACAGATCACCAGACTTGGCAGCAGGTACCCTTTCCAACTGAATCATCTCACCAATGCTTTTTTTTTTGGTCTGGAGACAGGGTCTCGATAAATTTATTGGTCATGATCCTTCTGCCTCAGGCCTCTTAGCAGCTGATGTGACTGTGGGGCGACTGTGGGGGGACTGTGGGGTGACTGTGGGGTTATTATGGGGTGACTGTGGGGTAACTGTGAGGTTATTATGGGGTGACTGTGGGGTAACTGTGGGGTGACTGTGGGGTTATTATGGGATAACTGTGGGGTGACTGTGGGGTTATTATGGGGTGACTGTGGGGTGACTGTGGGGTGACTGTGGGGTTATTATGGGGTGACTGTGGGTGACTGTGGGTAATTGTGGGGTGACTGTGGGGTGACTTGGGGGTGACTGTGGGGGTAACTGTGGGGTGACTGTGGGGTAACTGTGGGGTTATTATGGGGTGACTGTGGAGTGACTGTGGGGTGACTCTGGGGTAACTGTGGGGTGACTGTGGGGTAACTGTGGGGTGACTGTGGGGTTATACGGGGTGTGTGGAGTGACTGTGGGGTTATTATGGGGTGACTGTGGGGTTATTATGGGGTGACTGTGGGGTTATTATGGGGTGACTGTGGGGTGACTGTGGGGTGACTGTGGGGTGACTGTGGGGTGACTGTGGGGTAACTGTGGGGTGACTGTGGGGTGACTGTGGGGTAACTGTGGGGTGACTATGGGGTTATTATGGGGTGACTGTGGGGTGACTGTGGGGTAACTGTGGGGTGACTGTGGGGTTATTATGGGGTGACTGTGGGGTTATGTGGGGTGCTGTGGGTACTGTGGGGTGACTGTGGGATGACTGTGGGGTGACTGTGGGGTAACTGTGGGATGACTGTGGGGTGACTGTGGGATGACTGTGGGGTGACTGTGGGGTAACTGTGAGGTTATTATGGGGTGACTGTGGGGTAACTGTGGGTGACTGTGGGGTTATTATGGGGTGACTGTGGGGTGACTGTGGGGTTAGTTATTGGGGTGACTGTGGGGTAACTGTGGGTGACTGTGGGGTTATTATGGGGTGACTGTGGGGTGACTGTGGGGTGACTGTGGGGTGACTATGGGGTGACTGTGGGGTGACTGTGGGGTGACTGTGGGTGACTGTGGGGTGACTGTGGGGTGACTGTGGGGTTATTATGGGGTGACTGTGGGGTAGGGGTGACTGTGGGGTTATTATGGGGTGACTGTGGGGTGACTGTGGGGTGACTGTGGGGTGACTGTGGGGTGACTGTGGGGTGACTGTGGGGTGACTGTGGGGTAACTGTGGGGTGACTGTGGGGTGACTGTGGGGTGACTGTGGGGTGACTGTGGGGTTATTATGGGGTGACTGTGGGGTGACTGTGGGGTGACTGTGGGGTAACTGTGGGTGACTGTGGGGTGACTGTGGGGTGACTGTGGGGTAACTGTGGGGTGACTATGGGGTTATTATGGGGTGACTGTGGGGTTATTATGGGGTGACTGTGGGGTGACTATGGGGTTATTATGGGGTGACTGTGGGGTGACTGTGGGGTGACTGTGGGGTAACTGTGGGTGACTGTGGGGTTATTATGGGGTGACTGTGGGGTGACTATGGGGTGACTGTGGGGTGACTGTGGGGTGACTGTGGGGTGACTGTGGGGTAACTGTGGGGTGACTGTGGGGTGACTGTGGGGTTATTATGGGGTGACTGTGGGGTTATTATGGGGTGACTGTGGGGTTATTATGGGGTTATTATGGGGTGACTGTGGGGTGACTGTGGGGTGACTTGGGGTAACTGTGGGTGACTGTGGGGTTATTATGGGGTAACCGTGGGGTGACTGTGGGGTTATTACGGGGTGACAACCAAGCTGGTGTTTTATGCTTTTCCTTTTTTCCTTTAATTTTATGTGTGTGAGTGTTTTGCCTGCAAGTCTGTCTGTGCACCATGTGCATGTCTGGTGCCTGTGGAGGCCAGAAGAGGGCGTCAGACCCCTTGGAACTGGAGTTACGGATGATTGTGAGCCGCCATGTGGGTGCTGGGCAGTGGACCTGGTCCTTTGTGAGAGCAGCCATCTCTCCAGGCTCTGTTCAGGTTTTTCCATACTATGAACAATTTCCTCTGAGCCAGGCGCGGTGGCATGCGCCTGTAGTCCCAGCTACTCGGGAGGCTGAGACAGGAGGATCAATGGGGTCCAGGAGTTCTGGGCAGTAGTGCGCTATGCCCATCAGGTGTCCGCACTAAGTTCAGCATCCGAATGGCGACCTCCCGGGAGCGGGGGACCACCAGGTTGCCTAGGGAGGGGTGAACCAGCCCATGTCGGAAATGGAGCAGGTCAAAACAGTTTCCTCTGAGATAGAAACATTCTATCCTTCAGGGAAACTCCTTAAGCAGGACAGTAAACAACTCCAAACAGCTTCAGGAAGTCCCTGACACTGAGCAGATTGACTAGAAGCCAGACCAGCTGTCCTGAAGAGGGTTAGAGCAGAGTCACTAGAATGGGCCACTCTCCAGTGTGCAGGCTGTGTGGTGTGTTCCAGGCTGCCAGCTCTGTGAGCTGTCACTGTGTTGGGGTGGGCTTTGGTGATGCAGCTGTCTGTGAGTCATTTCTGCTCCTGTAAGTCACTCCTTACCCATAATCCTATATGTAACCTCAATAAACTCACTGGTTCACCAAGCTGGAGTTTGGCAGCATCTATACTTTAGTGTGCCATGGGCTTCTGATATGGGATGAGTTGATGTGTATATTGTCTCCCCAGGAAAAGTTTTGTCACACAACACTATGGGATCCCATCAAGCACAAACTGAAGCTTACCCCCATCTCCTCACACTGGAAAAGCAGAGAACATCATGACCCTGACTCTAAAGACTTCTGGCTTACATGAGGCATCCAGGACTCCCCTCCTGCGCCAGAATTGCTGTAGTTGCTGTTGGTATGCTCTGCTCTGAAGAGGGGGACAGCTGGGGAGGCTTCCAGCTGCCTAAGGGAATCCTCCAGCTCCCGCACCTGCAGGTGACAGGATCATCATCAGCAGGAACCCAGCCTAACCCTGCATGTGACCTGGGACAGGTCCCTAGCTGCCACTCAGGTGTGCAGCCACTAGCAGGAAGGTGGGGGAGGTGGTGACTGTACCACTTTCCTTTTTTTAGGATTTATTTATTTCTATCATTTCATGTGCATCAGTGTTTTGCCTGCATGTATGTTGTGTGAGGGTGTTGGGCTGGGAACTGGAATTACAAGAAGTTGTGAGCTGTCATGTGAGTCCTCTGGAAAAGCAGCCAGTGCTCTTAACTGCTGAGCCATCTGTCTCTCCAGCCCCCCTTCCCCCAGTTTTTGATTTTTTTCCTTTTTAAGATTTTAGGTGACTCCGTGTTTCCCTGGGTTATCTGGATCTCCCCAACTCAAGCCATCATCCTGCCTCAGTCTCCCATAGCTGTGGGGTTTCAAATGTGCACCCCCACCCTCAGAAAGGAGAATTTTATTTTTATGTTGGTGAGAAGAGGCTCTTCAAGCCAAGTGCTGAGCCCTGCCCCAGCACTGGAGGATTCTAGGTAAGGCTCTGTGTGCACCTTGGTCCAGTCTGGCTTCACATCTTGTCTACGCTATTGCTAAATTGTGATCCTCCTGTCTCAGCCTCTAGAGTTCTTAGCATTACAAGCTTGACCCACCACATCATCACACATAATCTGCCCGTTTTTTGGTGACCTCTACCACTTACTCTTCACCTGGACGCCTGCTATGGCCACCTCCCTCCTCCCCACAGTCATGATCCACCACCAGACTGTTCCTCACATGGCCAGCAGATGGTGCAAGGGGACACCTGCAGCAGGGCCAATTCCCGTCAGAACCCAGAACCCTCTGGGGCTCCTGCCAAGCACAAAGCACAGCTGCAAGTTCTGCTCAGCCCTCCACATCCTGCAAACTGTGGTGGTCCCCCTTGCCTGAGAGTTTGAAGATGAAAAGAACCTCTTCCTCCCCAATTGCTTTTAGCTGTGGTGTTTTATCACAGCAATAGAAACCCTAAGACAGGATTATTCAGGGTGTGTGTGTGGGTGTGTGGGTGTGCCCAGGGCCTCACACACTCTAGGCAAAGCCGCTATCACTGAGGTACCCTGAAACCTTTAAAAAACAAACAGAAAAATTGACACAGGTCTTGGTCCTCATTGGTCTGTTGAATGGATAAGTTTGTGTATGTTCCCGAGGCATGATCTGCCGCCTCCCCAGTCACTAGCTCACCTGTCTCTGCAGAATCTCCTTCTCTGCCTGGGCATCCTGCAGGGAAGCCTGAGTGCAAACCAACTCATCCTCTCGGCTGCCCAGGGCCAACCGTAGCCAGGCATTCTTCTCTATGAGGCGAGCTGCCTCATGCTGCCCAGGCCCGGCTTTTTCCTGATCAGCAAAGGGTCCCAGTGCCATCTGGTCTCTGTCTTCTCCTTCCATTGGCCTCGGGAAGCTTAGGAAGCAGCAACGACAGGCAGCCACAGTGGCCTCAAGGGAGCTCAGCCTGCTCAGCAGGGTCTCAAACACACTGGGTACTGAGGTTGCAGCAGGGCTAGTATCCAGGAGAGCTGCCTGCAGGGTCTGGTGGCCTTCCACTTCAGGCTGGCCTTCCAGCTTTGACTCCAAGGCTAGGGCCCCATGGGATCCCACATCACAATCATCCTCAGGCCTGGAAAGATAATCCAGGAACCCCAGCTACCTGAGGCTGAGCAGGGGCCTTTAGGGCTAGACCTCAGGGTCCCTGGGAAGGGTGAGCAGGCGATGAGCTGAAGGAGGGAAGGGAGAGAGTGGAGGAGGACAGAGGAGGCGAGGGGAAGCCAAGGCAGCTGTTGTGGGGCAGCTTCATGAGGGGCAACTGCTGGAATAAGAAGCACAAAATTTGTCCTACCAGCTCCCTGGGTTCTGCAGGTCAGGACCAAGGTGTTCCTGAAGTAGCCCAAGTTTGGCCTCAAACTTCCCATTGGTGGCCTCCACCTCCTCTGAACTCTCAACCACTGGGTCCAGCTCCCCCTGAGAATGACATCCCCCCCCCACCACAGGTTCAGAGCCAAATAGGCCTGGGCTCCAGGATCCATGGGGTCGGGTGTGGCCAGAAGAGGGGTACACTTACGGACAGAGGATGTCTCCCTCGACGGCTTCGGGGTCGTGCGGCCCAGGAACTCATTGCCTCTTTTACCCTGTGATTACAGCCTGCTCTCAGATATTTCCTTTGTCTCCCTGGGTCCTTCGTTTTTTTTTTCCCCCTAGGAGTTTTTGATCAACTGTATTGATTGAATATTTGAATATTTGAATACCGATCTGATGGTGCCCACTACTTGTCCATTTACCCCACTCTCTCCCCCTTCTCTGCCTGGCAATCCTCTTCCCTCAGATGCCTGGATGCATGTCTCTTGTCTGTATGTCCCTCTCTCCCCTATGGAAGGATGGGATAGCGACCCCAAGAATCTTCTTTCCTCCCAGGACTCTCCTAGCACCAAACTCCCTCCCACCGTCTGATCTGCTCTAGGGCACTTTGGGCCACTGGCTTCTGAGGCTGCACCGGCCAAGGCTGGCCTGGGAGGGGCTGAGAAACAGGAAGCCCCTGCCCTGGTCACATAGACAGTTATTGTCTTGTTTCCTTCTCCAGGATGTCAACTTCCTCCAGAATGGGGACAGGATGGAGAACTGGGACCCTTGACTCACTCCAGGCTAACAGCCCTCCCACATACCATCCCAAGCCTATAGTGCCTCCATTTCCATTTCAGGTTTTCTCCGTGTCCCCATGGTCCTCAGGGCTCATTCTACTATAAGGTCTGTGTGAGTGTCTCAAAAAAAAAAAAAAAAAAAAAACCCTGTAGGAATGGGCTCCAACATCGGAGTAAAATTTTATTTTTCATTACTTTGCTTTATTTGTGTCTGTGGCGGGTAAGCCACATGCACTTGTGGGAATTGGTCCTCTCCTTCCATCAGGCAGGTCTCGGGGATCGTGCTTAGGTCTTTAGGCTTGGCGATGCCTGCACCTGTTCACCAGCCCATAATGTTTTCTTCAAGGAGACTGATAGCTGCTCAAGCAGAGCGTGCTTGTCCGATGTCAGAGGCTCCAGTGGGACAATGAGACTGTCCACGGTGTGTCTGCTGGCTTTTCTTTTTATTTTTTCTTTCCATTTTGGTTTTTAGAAGGGTCTCAATCAGCCCCGCCCAGGTCGGTCTCCTGCCTTGACAATTGTAGTCTAATTAAGTCATAACTACAAGCTCCGCCCAATTTTGTTTTAGTCAACACCCCCCTCCGCCCCGCCCCATCACCTATTCCTAATACCCTACTTCAGCCCCACTCTTGCCAGTGTACTCTAAGGCACACCTCCAGGATCGCCTCAGCCTATTAGCGTCTATGTCCCGGGGCCATTGAACTACATTTCCCAGAAGGCGTTACGGCAGCACCGTACAAACTTCCGGTCAGGAAGATGGCGGCTTCCTAGAACTCTATGATTGACTGGCCGCACTACCTAGGCTTCAGAGTGGAACTTGGTTGTGTGATCTCGCGGGAGCTTTTTGTCGCTGTGGTCAAACATTGATCCGGCTTGTTGCAGTTCCAGGTTCGTTCTGCTTGAAGAGGTGGGGCCTGCAGAATCCTGAGTCACCGCCCCGAGAAACGCAGATCCATTGCATGGTCGGCGACTTGGGCTTCCTGCCGCCCCAGAGACCTGATCACCCGAGTTAGCGCCTTCTCTTGTGCACGATCCAGTCACCCTCGCGCTGTAGCCTCGGGTGACAGAAACCCAGACACAAGCTCGCCAAAGCCAGCAAGGCAAGTGGGACGCTCAGGAAAGGGTTCAGGTACAGCTGGATCCAGGCGTCCAAAAGTGGCTTAGGTGTTCCGCCAGGGTGTCTCTTCGAGTAGATGCTGCCTCAGGGAAAAGGAGCTTTGAGAAGCTTTCAACTGTTATCTTCTCAGCTCTTTTCCATTTCTGTCTCTTGGGACTGTGATGTGTGTGAGCCACCGAAGGCCTTACTGAGTCAAATACCCACCTCCGAGTATTCCTGGTGACCAGGAAGCTGTGTTTATTGGCCCAGTGAAGGGCAGTGATGGTGTTTGCCCTGTTGCAAGAAGTGGAAAGCTAAGATTGGGGGCACAGTTCATTTGGTAGAGTGCTTGTGGCTTAGAGTGTAGCTCGGTGGGTAGGGTATGGTAGCTCAGTGGGTGGAGTGTGGCAGCTCAGTGGGTAGGGTGTGGCAGCTCAGTGGGTAGGGTGTGGTAGCTCAGTGGGTACAGTGTGGTAGCTCAGTGGGTTGAGTGTGGTAGCTCAGTGTGTAGGGTGTAGTGGCTCAGTGGGTAGAGTGCTTGCCTAGCATGAATGAGACCCTGGGCCTCCATCTCCAGCACACATAGGGCGGGTATGGTGGGATACTTCCAGCACACAGAAGGTGGATGCAGAGGGTTAGGAGTACCAGGTCATCCTAAGTCATACAGTGAATTGGAGGCCAGCCTGGGTTACATGAAACTGTGTCACAAACAAGAAAGAAAACAAAAAAGCTGTTATTTATTTCTGTTCCTGGCCTTACTTATATATATAAGTAATATATATATGTAATATTTTTTTTATTTTGAAGCAATCTTATTTTACGTGTCAATCCCTCCCTCCTCGTTCCCTCTCCCTCCATCCTCCCATGCTCCCCACTGACTCCCCCCAACCATCCCCCACCCACTCTCCAAGGATAGTGAGGCCTTCCATGGGGGAATCATCAAAGTCTGTCACATCATTTGGGGCAGGGACTAGAACCTCCTCCATGTATCTGGGCTGAGATCGTATCCCTTCATAGGGAATGGGCTCCCAAAGTCCATTTGTGCACTAGGGATAAATACTGGTTCCACTGTTGGAGGTCCCATGGACAGCGCAGGTCTCCTGACTGGCTCTCACAGTCAGAGAACTTATTTCGGCTCAGTGCTGGTTCCCCAGCTTTATGACTGGGGTCCCCGTGCTCTCACTAGGTCAGGCCAGCTGTTTCTGTAAGTTTCTCCAGCAAGGTCTTGACTGCTTTGCTCGTCCCCCCTCCCTCTCAACACCTGGATTCCAGGAGTGTGGCTCAGTGCTTGGCTGTGGGTGTCTGCTTCTGCTTCCATCAGTTACTCGATGAAGGTTCTAAGATGGCAATTGAAGTAGTCATCAGTCTCATTATGGGGAGGGCATCAAAGGCGGCCTCTCCACTCCTGCCTAGATTCTTAGTTGGGGCCATCTTTATGGATCTCTGAACATTTCTCTTTAAGCTGGCTCCCTCTATGACGGTGTCTCTTTCCTTGCTCTCCTCTTGTTCTCCCCCCCCTCTTATACTCTCCTCTTTCTCCCACCTCTATCCCCCCCCCCCATTTGCTCAGGAGTTCTCGTTCCTCCCCCTTCTCCAGAGAACTATGTGTTTCTCTCTTAGGGTTCTCTTTTGATTCCTAGCTTCTCTGGAGGTGTGAATTGTAGGCTGGCCTTTCTGTGACTCAGGATGGTTTCTTCCAGTTCCATCCATTTTCCTGTGACTTTCAAGATTCCCTTGTGTTTTTCCATTGAGTAGTACTCCATTGTGTAAATGTACCACATTTTCTCCATCCATTCTTCAGTTGAGGGGCATCTAGGTTGCTTCCAGGTTCTGGCTATTACAAACAATGTTGCTATGAACATAGTTGAACATATGTCCTTGTGTAAATGCAGGTAGACTGATTTACATTTTCCTGAGAAACTGATTTCAAAGTTTTGGCCTCACTCTTAAGGGAGCCATTCTGCAGCCAGCAGAGCCTCCTGTTAGGCAAGGAGCTCATGGCTCAGCCTCTAGTGTCTCACTGCTTTTTAAAATTCTTAAAGCAGGATCCTGGCTTCTGCAATTCCCTCTCCATCCAAGCACCCAGGAGCCATGGAGGTGGCTGAGGCTAACAGCCCCACCGAGGAGGAGGAAGAGGAGGAAGAGGAGGAGGAAGGGGAGGAGCCAATCCCTGAGCCCAGGCCTCACACTCGCTCCAACCCCGAGGGGGCCGAGGACCGGGCCCTGGGAGCCCAGGCTAATGTGGGCAGCCGCAGCGAGGGTGAGGGTGAGGCCGCCAGTGCAGACGAGGGGGCGGCCAGTGCCCCAGCAGCCGGGCCCAAGCCCTGGCAGGCACCAGCACCAGCACCTGAGGTCCAGATTCGAACACCACGGGTCAACTGTCCAGAGAAGGTGGTATGTGCTTGTCTTGACTGAGGGTGCAGCAAACGGGGCCCTCAGGAGGCCACTCCTGCCCTGTGAGATTCTCTAAGTTGCTGCTGTATTTTCCTGCAGGTTCCATGAGCCCACACACTTGAAAGCATAAACATCACTGAATTTAGATTCTTGTTTTTTTTTTCTTTTTTCTTATTTTATTTTGTGGCACCTGGATCTCCACATGTGTCCCCAGTCCCTCCCTGGGGCTCCTAGGCAGGGGGCTCTACCCCTGAGCCACACCCACAGCGCCTTGGACACTGTCCGCTGGGTCCCACACTTGCTGTCTTAGCTCTGTCTGGTTTGGTCCTGTACTCTCTGTCTTCTGCTTGTGTTTCAGATCATCTGTTTGGACCTTTCAGAGGAGATGTCTGTGCCAAAACTGGAATCTTTTAATGGGTATGATGGCATTGGGCATGGCCATGGGCAACTCAGAGTGCAGAGGGTCCTTGTTGTAGCCTGTAGGAGCTCGGTGTCCATGGCACAGTTCCAGGGCTGTGGCCTTCTAGGCTTCTGTCCATATGTGTGACACTCTTAGGAGCTAAGGACCTCCGGTGGGTGGTGGGGCACTCTGTTTGATGGGGCGGGCCACTGTTAGTTCCCATAGAAGCTGTTGAACTCTGTGTTCTCCCAGGAGCAGGGGTGTGAGGCCCCACATCTGGAGTGGCCTTGGGCCCCTGTAAATGACAAGGACAAGGCCACAGGAGTGATAGCACACACCTGTTAACCTAGCATTGGGAGGTGGAGATGGAGAAGTCAGGAGTTCTAGGTTCATCTAGGCAATGAATTAATTTGGGTGCCAGTTTGGGTTCCACCGCAGGTTTGAGGCTAGCGGTACTACACGATGGATTTGAACTCACTTGGTATATTAGGAAAGAGTCCCTCAAGGCCATGCCCAGTCCCTTGGGTTTTAGTTAATTCCATATATAGTCAAGTGACAACCTTGTCACTGTCACCCACCTCTTCCAGCTCCAGGATGAATGCCCTGAATGTGTCTCAGAAGATGGTTGAGATGTTTGTGCGCACAAAGCACAAGATTGACAAGAGCCATGAGTTTGCACTGGTTGTAGTGAATGACGACTCCGCTTGGGTGAGGCTGGGGGTGGACAGGGACTCTGGGGACCTCAGGACTGGGATCCCCAACACTGAGGCTCTGCCTTCCCCACAGCTGTCTGGCCTGACCTCTGACCCACGTGAGCTCTGCAGCTGCCTGTACGACCTGGAGACAGCATCCTGTTCCACATTTAGTATCCTTGTCACTGTCCCTGGCCCCAGATCAGTAATGCTGTGAGATGGGGACCCAGGAGTTTTGTGGCGTCCCTCCAACACAGAGCCAGGCTACATGTTCAGAATCCAAAACAATTCAGAGTCTGAAATCAGGACTTTTCTATAGTTGTTGGAAAATTTTTTCTTGTAGACAATACTGGTCTTGAACTCACACAGATCTGCCTGCCTCTGCCTCCACAGTGCTGCCCGGCTCAGTGGTTGGTTTTTGACACATGATCTTGCTGAGTCCATGATCCTCCTGCCTTAGCATCCTGAGAGTAGAATGACAATGGTTCAGGATCATGCTCCTAATTCTTTATTTCTAAATATTTATTGAGACAAGATCTCACTATGTAGCCCAGGCTGTCCTGGAACTTTGTAGATCAGGCTGGCCTCAAACTCACAGAGCTCTACCTGCCTCTGCCTCCCAAGTGCTGGGATTAAAGGTGTGTATCACCATCCCACATCAAATATATAAATATATTTTTGAGACTATTTCTCTTGTAGCCCAGGCTAATCTTGATTCATAGTGTATGTAGCTAAGGATGGCCTCGAGCTCCTGATTCACCCTCTTCCACCTCCTAAGTACTGGGATGTAGTGTGCTGGAGAGGGACCCACAGCTACATGAATGCTAAGCAACTGTTCTACTCTGGTTCCTGAGCTCCAGCCCCAGCATGACTCGGGGATTTTGTCCAGTGAGATAACAGACAGAATATTCCATGTATGACATTTCTAGTAGTCACATTCAAGACCCAGCTTCAGGGCTAGGTGTTAGGGTGCTGGAGAGTCAACCTAGCACTCAGGACGTTGAGGCAGGAGGATTGCAGGTTACAGGCCAAAGCTTACCTAGAAATCTAGACTCTGTTTCAAAAACCACAAAATCAGTAAAAAGGGCAACAACAGAAACCTGGCTATTAATTCACAGTGATGCAGATACCAAAGCCAGCCAGCACCCAAGCCCAGAGAATTCCTGGTGCCCATCCTGAGCAGTGGAGGAGTGGGTGTTAATGAGCGCACCCAGGGAACACATCACCAAAGCCAGGCTTGCATACAGTTGGTGCCTCTTCATGCTGATACTTACCTGAAAAGTCACAACCATGTCTTTCCACCTGTATCCTCTAACATGGAGGATGCTCCCCCAGAGATGTGGCTGGACAGGGGTGCCCCGAGGGTCTGCGGGGGTTAAGGCCAGCACCCACTTTATGATGTGTAAAAAGAAGCAGGTGTGGGACATACAGTGTACCCTATGGGTCACATAGCCTTCCTCAGGGGCCACACTACCTGCCCCCAGGGTTGCCCGTCATCTCCCAAGATCCAGGACAGGGCAGGCCCCTGTCCCCAAGCTGGCACCTTGTCCTTAGCGACCCTCCAGATCTGGAAGGCCTCTTCAGCCTCATGTGAGTGTACTTCCAGAGTGGGGCATGGCCTTGGCTTCTTTCCCCAGCAAGGTGCAGACAGACAGTGGGTGGAGCCGTGGGTCCAGACCTGGTGTTCATGGGTGGAGCTTGCATTTGTTTTCCCTTTGAAAGTGGTTTTAAAGAAGCCTTGTACATTTTTTCATTATGTTTTTATTTTTGTGCAAGCATATGTACCACAGTGCTTGTGTGGAGGTCAGGAGCAACTTGTAAGAAACCTCTCTGTGCTCGTGGGGCCTGCACATCAAGTCAGTTCACCGGCTTGGCTGCAGGCACCTCTAGCCTCTAGCCTGTCTCCCTGGCCCTAGCTTTGCAATTAACATGCAGGGCCACTAGGGACTGGGCCCGTGGGGCTCAGCTGTTATGGGAAGGGTTCTGCCCAGGGCTGGCAGGCAGCTGGGTACCAAGCCCTCCTCCTTCCCCTCTGTAGCCAGCAGAAGACTGAGCTGCCAGTCACAGAGAACGTGCAAACCATCCCTCCCCCCTACGTCGTGCGCACCATCCTTGTCTACAGCCGCCCACCCTGCCAGCCCCAGTTCTCCCTGACTGAGCCCATTAAGGTGAGCCTGCAGGGGAGGAGAGCAGTGGCTAGAAACCAGGGTCATGGTGGCTGTGGTAAGCACCCACCCACCCTCTCTCATCCACTGCAGAAGATGTTCCAGTGCCCCTACTTCTTCTTCGACATCATTTACATCCACAGTGGCACCGAGGAGAAGGAAGAGGAGATGAGGTGGAAGGTGAGACGTCACAATGGGGGATGGACTTCCCCTCCCTGCCATTTGGTCAGTCATCAGTCACTTAGCAACTGTTTCCTACATTTCCACTTTGTGCTGATGGTGACTGACTTGGGAGGGAGGCAGTGGCTCCCCAGCCTGCATATCCCTAGCACCCAGTTCTTTTCCTGATTTCATCCTATTATACCCTCTGCCTGAAGCAACCTCCCTCTCAGCCTCTCTAGGCCTCACTGGTTCTTCACAGCTGACTTGTGTGTTACTGTGAGTGGCCTCTGACATGTGTGGACTTAAGTTTACAGACTGTGAAGTGGGTCAGGTAAAGGCACTCTTGCAGGCAAGCATGAGGACTTGAGTTCAGTCCCCGAACCAACACGGCAGGAGCACTGACTCCAAAGATTATACTCTGACATCCACACTCCTGCACTCAGCACACACACACACACACACACACACACACACACACACACACACACCTGTATGTGTATGCACATTCCTACACACACATATACACACACACACCCATACACACACTTGCATATATGCACACCTGTAACTCCAGCCCCTCTGCCTGTGAGTGAATACCTGAAAGGCTAGGGCAGGGGTTGTGATGATGGGAATGTTGTGTGACAAGGCTTTTCTTGGAGAGAAACAACACTCAGTCCTGAGAGGAGCCCACGACACACCAAAGTACAGACACCATAAAGTCCAGCTTGGTGAACCAGTGAATTTATTGGTGTTACTTACAGGAATAGGGTTTGGGGTCATGTCACCTACAGGAGCCAAAATGACTCACAGAGAGTTGCATCACCAAAGTCCACCCCAGCAAGAGTGACAGCTCTCAGAGCTGGGAGCCTGGAGCACACTGCACAGCCTGTACACTGGAGAGTGGCCCATTCTAGTGGCTCTGGTCTAACCTCAGCTGGTCTCTGAGGGACTTTCCTTACCCTGGCAGGGAGGGGCCTAGAGAATCTGCTCAGTTTCAGGGACTTCCTGAAGCTGTTTGGAGTTGTTTACCATCCTGCCTAAGGAACTTCCCTGCAGGGTGGGACATCTCTATCTCAGAGGAAACTGACATAGAAGGCTGACTTAGGCTACAGAGTGAGGCCCCTGAGTTCTAGGTCCTTCCTCCCTGCAGGGGATTAAGGATATGCCCTGCTGTATTTAGTTTTCTATGGGTCCTAGGGATTTGAACTCAGGTCTGAGTTCTTGCATAGCAGACACTTTACTCACTGAGCCACCTCCCAGTCCCACACTGTGGGTTTCTAGGGTCCCCAAAATGAAAGCTCAGGTCCTGGATGCCGGGTAGATGTTAGGGATGTTTGTTGACTTCAGTAAGTTTCTAGCCTGAGCAACTCCTCTTCAGCCCTCAGAACCCACTCTATATACCCCTTCCTCTAAGAAAGCCTCTCACTGGTCCCCACAGGACATGTTCTCCTTCATAGGCAGCCTGGACACCAAGGGCACCAGCTATAAGTATGAGGTAGCACTGACTGGGCCTGCCCTCGAGCTGCACAACTGCATGGCCAAACTGCTGGCCCATCCGTTGCAGAGGCCCTGCCAGACCCATGCGAGCTACAGCCTGCTGGAGGACGAGGAGGCTGGTGAGGGTGAAGCCACTGTATGACCTGTGACTTCTCTGTACCATTCAGGGGCTCTGTGCACCCATGCCTGCTCCTACCGTTTCTGCTGTAAATTCATTCTTCCTGGGACCAGTTTGTCACCAGAATAAACATCTGAGGCTTCTGGGCCTGTCTTCTGATCATTTTAGGTTCACTGGGACAGAAGACAGGTGCTGAACCTGTTGTGCATGGCTTCCGGCTCGGCTGACACCACAGCCATAATGACCTCGGCTGTTTGCTTCCGCAGGCTGGTATTAACTGCTTTGCAGACTTCTCTTCACCCTACAGAACCCCCCAGATTTCTTTTCCTCCAGGAAGTCCTCCAGAGACAAGGAACATCTGTTTGCAGGTGAGAATGGTGTGGCTTCCACAGGAAGTGTTTACTTTTGGGTTCTTCTGGACACCCAAGAGTACCAGTTCCAAGTGGGAAGTGGGTGGGGTGACACCACCCCACCATCCCAAACTGTGTTGAAGTGCTGTCTCTGAGTACTCTGACCTGATTGGACCTGTGTAGCCCTGTGGCCTCACCATGAGCAATCACCACCCAGGGTTCCAGGATGGGACCTATGAGACCCTCCCATCCACCCCTCCTTCTCCATTCATAGGAAGCAACAACAGTCACTGTATCTGGGGTAGACATTAGAATGAACAGCTGTTTCCTAGAAGTACTTTGACCTTGAAGAATCCTTGTGGGAAACTGATTGTTTTGCTGAAGGGCATTGCTGCCACCCCATGTCATAAGATGCCTCAGGCACACCTGAGGGTCTTGTATTATTGTGTATTGCAAATGATACATAATGAAGGACTATAGTCATGCTCCTCATTAGTAAGACATGTAAATTAGATTGGGGTCCTTGGTATGAGGAAATATTTTGTGTAACAATAAATACGCCTTTGTACAGCTGTTCGGGGTTCAGTCCATCAAGGCTGGACCTTCCTGCTGCCACGTAGGTCTTAAAATTCCAAGTTGGAGCGCTTCATTTGAACTGAGCTACACGGTGCATCCCGCCTGCCCTGTACCCTAACAGGGCTACACAGTGCACCCAGACAGTCCTCACTTTGATATGGGAAGCTGAGGCAGGAGAGTGACCAGTTCTAGGTCAGCGGGGGCCACATAAAGGAAGTTCCGAGTATGAACAAAACTGGATTTGGCCTGGTAATGGCTCAGCCATTCGGAGCACTGGCTGTGCTTGCAGAGGACCTGGGTTCGATTTCCACATGCAGGCTCACAACTCCAGTTCCGGAGGATTCAAGGCCCTCTCTGTCTTAAGAAAGTAGGTCAGCTTGACTGTTTTCTGGCCCCTGCATTACTTGGGTACTTAGTGTTGAGCTCTGTACCCCCATTTTCAAATAAGGAAAATGCAGCTCTTTAGAAAATGTTATTTGTGTGTGCACTCGTGTGGACATCAGTCTGCACTCACATTCCAACCTGTGGGTCCGTGGGTCCTGGGGATCGAACTGGGCTCATCAGGCTTGGCAGCAAGCACCTTTACCCGCTGAGCCATCTTGCTTCCCTTGCAAAGCCCTTCCTCACAAAGCAACAGTGACAGCCAGCTCTGCTGGATTGAAAAATGCTCAATGCTGTTCCTCAGGAGTCGGATCCCAGCAATCGGCAAGCTGAGGCAGGAGGATGGACAGCTTGGGCTAAGACTAGGATATCCAGTAGTTTGTTCTTGTTTTGTTAAAGACAGAGGCTCCGCTCTTTCGTGGTAATCCTCCTGACTCAGCTTTCCAAATCCCGGTGTGGGACCCCAGCTGCGAGCACCAACCCCCCCCCCCCCCCCCCCCGTGTCCCTGCAGTTTGCAGGACCATGACATACCCCACCCCTCTGTCTTGGTCTAAGGTTCCAGGCCCTGCCTGTCAATCTAGGGCGTCGCCTGGGCGGGGCGGGAGGCAGAGCTGGGAAGCATAGGGGCGGGGCCGCGCGTGCGCAGAGGCCGCCGCGCGAATTTGAACCTTGGAGGGCGATGACATGGCGGATTCTACCCGCTTGGCCCAGCAACTGCAGGAGGCACTGCACGAGCAGGAACCGCGGTGAGGGCGGGGAGGGGGGTTCTTCCCCGGCCTTCTGCTCCCCGGGCGGCCAGGAGTGCTGGGGTTTATCGTCACGGTCTGCCGCAGGGCTGTGGAGGAGCTGCTAAGGCTCGGGGCAGACCCCAGCCTGGTGCTGGAGGATGGCGCGGCGGCCGTGCACCTGGCAGCCCGAGCACACCACCCGCGCGCCCTGCATTGCCTCTGGATCCTGCTGCGCCGGGGCGCGGACCCCAATGCTCGGTAAGGTGCGGCCTGGATCCCCCTGGAGCGGTGGGTGTGACTTGGAGACCCGGCGGCTCCGGGCATCAGGACTAGGAGACTGAGATGTCTTCTCTGAGGGCCGGACCTGATTTCACACACCTACTATTCTGGCACTTCGGAGGGTGAGGCAGGAGGATGACCCTGAGTTAGAATATCAACTTCTATCTCATCCTCGTGGTAGTGGGCACCCGTCATTTCAGCACAGGGGGCTGAGGCAGAAGGAGCAAAGAGTTTGAGGCTAGCCTGGGCTACATGAGACTGCCTGGAAAAGGAAACTTCTCCAGACATTCCTTCTCTCTCTCCCGCCGTCCCAGGTCCGCTGAGGCGCTGACGCCGGTGCATGTGGCTGCAGCGTGGGGCTGTCGTGGTGCCCTGGAGCTGCTGCTGAGCCAAGGGGGCGACCCCACGCTGAGAGACCAGGTCTGGACCCAGCGCAGGCACACAGGGTGGCGGGAGGGCAGGCCGAGGGAGCCCTCTGCTGACTGTGTCTATGCAGGACGGGCTCAGGCCCCTGGACTGGGCGCTTCAGCAGGGACACCACAACTGTGCACGAATGCTACAGGAGCTGGACAAGTCCATTAGAACCCGGGAACCCGCTGGTGAGCAGAGCTGAGGGGGTCACGGGACCTGTGCACCCTGCTGCCTCACTGCTGGGGCCAGTTTCACATGCTGTCATCTGTCAATCACTATCCATCATCTGTCAATCATCTATCATCCATAGATCACCTATCAACAATCACCTATCCATCTATCATGTCTATATCATCCTACCTATTTTTATCTGTTTATCTGTCTGCTTAGTTATCATCTATCTATACATTTATGTTTATCTATATTTAGAGAAGTTTCCTGTAGCCCCGGGTGGCCTCAAATATGCCCTGTGCCGAGGACGTATCTTTTCGGGGTCTCCTGGTGTGTCTACACCTATGCACATGCCACTGGCCTCGGAACAGCACGTGTGCAGAGCTGAGCTGGCGGCTGCGCAGCAGGTAGTGGCAGAGCTCCAGAGCTCAGAGGCCACCAGGAGCCCGGACTGCAGCAGCAGTGACACCTCTTTTGTCACCGCCTTGGAGGACTCACCACAGCCCCATCACCCTGTGGGGACATCAGGGTCTGCAGCTGACCCGTGGTTATCCAGTGGGGCCAAGGAGGCTGGGGACAGAGCACTGAGCTGCCAGATGCAGGCCCTGACGTTGACCACAGAGGCCACCAATGTCCCCTCCCTGCCGGGTGACAGGGACCCAGGGACCTTGCAGCCACATGGCCCAGTGGCCCCCATGTCTGACCTACAGCTGCTCCAGGCCCTCCGGGCACTGGGCCATAGTCCTGGCCCGGTCACGCCTTTCACCCGTGGACACTACCTGCGGCGGCTACAGGAAGCCCAGGCTAGCCCAGGTGAGTTCTGTAGTGGCACTCCTGGAATCCAGAGACCTGGCTCTCAGACCCACTGCCCTCACCAGCCACTCTCCTCTGCCCTGACTTGGTTTTCCCTCACCAACTGTTCCAGGGCACAGCCCAGAACTGGCAGAGGCTCTGAGGACTGGCCATGTCCCCGACTGCCAGGCAGATGAGGCTGCCCTGGCTCAGCACTTTCAGCGGCTAGATCCCGCTAAGAGTTGGCGGGAAGGTGTTACAAAGTCCAACTTTACATATCTTCTTCTTGACCCCAGGTATAAGGGTGACAGAAAAGCTGGGGTTTGGTCTTAGAGCATGGCTCTGCAGAGCAATAGCTAGAGCTCGAGGCCTGGGTTGTAATAGGGAGATCCTGTTTCAAAACATCAAAACAAACGGCTGTGTAAGTGGGGGTTTGTTTTTGATTTGCTGTGTGTTCCTAGGCTAGCCCTCTCTGTTAGTTAGCCCAAGTCTGGGTCCCCCCTTTTATTTTCCGTTTATGTCTCTGATTGTGCACGGGCACACACACATGCTGTGGTGCACATGTGGGAGTCTGCAGGAGATGATTTCCTCCTTCCATCATATGGGTTCCAGGGATGGAACTCAGGCCGCCAGTGTTGGTGGCAGGCTCCTTTGCCCTCTGAGCCACTCTGTCTCACAGGCAGACGCAGGGCCTGCCTACCCGAGCCTCTTCCCTCACACTGATCGAGTGTCTGCAATGTTTTGTGAGAGCCATCTTCTATGTGGGCAAGGGGACCCGTGCCCGGCCAGATGCCCACCTCTGGGAAGCCCTTGGCTACCGTGAGCGGCCAGGCAAAAAGGTGGGGACAAAGGGCCGGGATGGGCAGGGTCAGCTGTCCTTCAGAAGGTCAGAGGGCAGATGACTTAGGATCCAACCTCTGACTCCATCATGCCCCCTAGGCTTGTCCCAAAGTATGCCGGATCCTAGACATCTGGGACAGTGGCCGCGGTGTCATCTCCCTACACTGCTTCCAGCATACGGTGGCCGTGGAGGCATACACGAGGGAGGCCTGTCTATTGGAAGCCCTAGGTAGGGTCTGGGTTGGTCTGGGTTCTAGGGCTGAGGTTACAGGAAAAGTATTTGAGCTCTGAATCCCCTCATCACTTCCTTTCCTTCAGGGTTCATTTATTCACATACACAGTGGGGAGTTACTGAGCACCAACACCTGGCACATGAGTGCCTGTACATACATCCTGTGTCAGTTGTTGTGGTGGAGGGTATGGAGTGGAAACCACTCCTGTGACTTCACCTCTAATCTGTTCAGGGATCCAGACACTGACCAACCAGAAACAAGGGCACTACTATGGAGAGGTTGCCTATTGGCCACCCACACAGCGTCGCCGTTTGGGAGTGTACCTGCTGCATCGGGCTCTGCTAGTCTTCCTGGCTGAGGGGGAGCGAGAGCTGAGGCCTCAGGACATCCAGACCCGAGGCTGAGTGCAGAGGATGTGACTGAGCCATTGGGTGTCTGAACACTCCAGGGACAGGTCCCTTACTGTGTCCCCAGCTCCAGCTTCAAAGGCATGGTGGGTGTGTGTGTGTGTGTGTGTGTAAATATGTGAGTGATGGCATGTTCCAATGCTTCTGGATGGGTAGTGAGCTTTCCATTGTGTGAGGTAAACCAGCCAAGGGTGCAGAAGTTACTCTAGAACATTCTTTGTCTCCATAGCTTATCTTTTGATACAAGGAGAGCTTGTAGAAGAGACCAGGCCAGGTGTGTTGATAGTGGTCCACCACCACTACCTTTGGGAGTATGGGGCAGGATTACTAAGCTAAGCTGGAGGCCAACCTGGATGTCTCAGTGAGACTGGAAATTGACATACATTTGTATTTGCTTAGAGGCCTCTGTGTGTTTGGTGGTGACAATCCTTCCCTTGTAGGTGTTCACAGACTGGGCACCCGAGGTCCCAACTATGCTCTTGGGAACACATCTAAGATCAAGAAGGCTGAAGGGCTTGGACTGACTGACACGTGTGTGTGTGTGTGTGTGTGTGTGTGTGTGTGTGTGTGTCCCCAGGTCTGCCCTAACCCTTTGCAACACTGTGCTGTGTCTAGCCCCTTGGTCTCCAAGCATCCCGCTAGCGTGGAGATGTGGCCTGCCCACCCAGTTCTCGCCCTTCTCCATTACCAAGTAGCTGCTTTCCTCCATGAGCTCCAGGAAAGCCTGCAGCAGGATCTGTGGGCACATCAGAAAGTCCCCCTGCTGTCCTCCCTTCAGCCACACCCAGGAGGATCCCCAGAATGGCCTGTCACCCTGTTGGAATCTCACCAGGTACTCAAACACTCAGTCAATACCCATTAAGTGCCTGCAGTATGCCCCGGTAGAAGTTCTCAACCTTGGGGTTGGGTTGTTGCTGTGGGGACATCGTGTGTGTTGTAAGGTGCTAGGCAGCCTCCTTGAACACCCCCCACTCAGGATGCCAGGGAAACTCTGCTATCCTTTCCTAGAAGGCTGACACCTGTCTTGGGGTACATCACCTGAGAGCCCCACTGAGGAAGAACATTGCATCTCCTGAGCATCCAGATGACAACACCCAGCAAAGGCCACGCCCTGGAAGTACACCATGCCTACCATAAGTTATACTCACTTAACCCAAGCCACAAAAGCTTGTTGCCTCGAAATCATACTCACCTAGAAGTTGTGAACCCAGGGCATCCCTGTTCACTTGGATCTGGATTCACACATTGAGGGCTACACCCCCAGAAGCCACACCCCCAGGTTCTCCACACTCTTGGCTGCTGTTTCAATTGTGCAGCTTCAAAATGACAACCCTTCTTCACTCAAGTGCTAGCTGAGTGCTGGTTGTGGGCCAGGAACCAGGTTCCCAGCTCAAAAGGTTTTAGTTGTTTTGGCTTTTCTAGACAGGGTTTCTCTATATGGCTTTGGAGCCCATCCTAGAACTGGCTCTGTAGACTGACCAGGCTGGCTTCCCGAGTGTTGGGATTAAAGGCATGCACCACCAATGTCCAGCTCTTGTGTTTGGTTTTTTGAGACAGGGTTTCTCTGTGTAGCTGGGACTGTCCTGGAACTCACTCTGTAGACCAGGAACTCAAAGTTCTGCCTGTTTGTGCTTCCTGAGTGCTGGGATTAAAAGTGTGCAACACCATGTTTGGTTCTGTCTCAAATTCTTGACGCCACTGTGGAGATGGTAAAAGGAGAATCAGTCAGCAAAGGTTTAGAGCCCTGAGGGCCTGGGACATCAGAGTGCTGGCTTAGCACTCAGAAGACTTGGGGTGCAGCAAGTTGCCAGGTAGTAGAGGGAAAGGAAAGATGGTTATTGTGATAGGTGTGTGCCTTGCCAGCCAGCTTTGCTCAGTGGAACTCTTTGTGTCAATACAACAAAACATTGGCCTTGTGGTTCAGTGTCCTTAGGAAAGGAGCTAGCCATCTGTGCTCATTGGCTTCCTTAGAAAAGGTTTTATTTAGGGAGTTTGCACTGGGGGAGCAGGCCTGTGATCCTGGCAGAAGGGCCAGAAGTTCAAAGCCAGGCTAACTGTAGTGTGTTTACTATCACCTTCAGTTATGACTCAGAGCCAGAAAGTTGTTGCACTCTCTGTGCTGTGAGTGTGGGTCCCAGTGTGGAGCATGTGGTGCTGTCTCCCTGCATCATTTCACCTGCATTTGGGGACAGTCCCCAGTAGGCCTTGTCCTTGTGTATGCAGAGTTTCCTATGAGCTCAGGGCCACTCTGGCCAGGGTTTCAGACGCCCCGCAGAACTTTGGAGTGGTGGTGGCGGCTTGGCTCGGGTATCAGCTGGGATTATGGGGGGCCAATTACATTCAAAGTACCACAGTGGCATGCCTCTTTAATTCTAGTACTTGGATGGTAAATGCAGGCAGATCTCCAAGTTCAACGTTAGCCTGGGCTACATGGTACAGTTCATGTGTATGGGTGTTTTGCCTGCATATCTGTGTACCACATGGATGCACTGTTCATGGTGGATTGCAGGACTATACAGGATTTAATGAAAAGGCAGAAAAGATTTTTAATAAGAGAGAAACGCCGGAGGAAAAGGAAGAGAGACTTAGAAAGTTGCAGGAAGAAAAAGAAGAAAGACTTTAAAAGGAGCAGGAGAGAGGGAAGAGAAGTAAGACATAAAGCTATCTAAGTAGCTGAGCAGAGTCCTGGCCACGGTAGTGCAGACTAGGCCAGAAGCAGGGAGACAGGATAGGAATCTGGGAGACAAAAGGTGGCCCAGGGTAGACCAGGACCAATGCGTCTATTGTAAGGAAAAGGCCATTGGGTCAGAGACTGCCCTAAGAGACTAAAGGATCCAAAAGAAGTGCCCAGTGCAAATCTCCTTAGGGGACTAGGGCGGTCCGGGCCAGGAGGCCCCTTCCCCCACCCCCCAGCCCCGGATAACCCTTAAGATCAGGGGGCAGCCCATGACATTCCTGGTTGATACTGGAGACCAACACTTGGTTCTGAGAAAATCAGGGGGACCCATTAGTGGAAAAACCTCATGGGCACAAAGGGGCCACGGATGGAAAGCTGTACCGATGGACCACCGAATGTAAGATCCACCTGGCCACTGGCAAAGTGACTCATTCGTTCTTGCACGTAAGGATTGGGAAGAGATCTTCTTTCTAAGATGGGAGCCCAAATTCAGTTCCACGCAAAGGGAGCTTCCATTACTGGACCAAATGGGGCCCCCCTCCACATCCTGACTATGAGATTGGAAGATGAATACAAACTTTTAAAGAACTCACCTAAGTCTCCACCACCTGATATGTAAAGATGGCTTGAAAAATAACCACAGGCTTGGGCAGAGACAGGAGGCATGGGGGTGGCTACAAACCAACCGCCTATCATCATTAACTTAAAGCCAACTGCCACCCCAATCTCAGTCAGACAATACCCTATCTCTGAAGAAGCATTTAAAGGGATCTGACCCCATATACAGCGGCTTCTTAAATTGGGCATTTTGAGGCCCTGCTGCTCACCATGGAACACTCCCCTACTGGCCGTGAAGAAACCTGGCACCAGGGATTACAGGCCTATACAGGACCTCCAGGAAATAAACTGGAGAACAGAAGATATACACCCTACTGTACCCAACCCATATAACCTTTTAAGCACTCGCCCTCACATACTTGGTATATACTGCTTGATTTAAAAGATGATTTCTTCTGCCTGAGATTGTGCCAGCCCCTGTTTACCTTCAAATGGAGAGACCCAGAGTCCGGGCTATCGGGGCAACTAACCTGGACCAGGTTGCCACAAGGGGTTAAGAATTTCCCCACCCTCTTTGACGAAGCCTTACATCAGGACCTGGCTGAGTTTTGAGTGCAGCACCCTGACCTAATACTCCTGCAATACGTAGATGACTTGCTACTGGCTGCCACCACTGAAAAGGACTGTGAACAAGGTACTGGGCCCTACTAGTAAAGCTTGGGAAGTTGGAGTATAGAGCCTCAGCCAAAAAGACTCAGATCTGTCAACCAAAAGTGACCTACCTTGGCTCTCTACTGGAGAACGGCCAAAGGTGGCCCTAATACCCCTGCCTAAGAACCCCAGCTAAATGCGGGAATTTTGGGGGACCGCCGGGTTCTGCAGACTATGGCTGCCCCATTATATCTTCTGCCTAAGCCAGGATTTCACTTTGAATGGGGAAAGAACAGCAAGGGGCTTTCGATCAGATCAAAAAGGCTCTACTAACAGGCCCTGCCCTGGGCCTCCCTGATGTGACCCAGCCATTTGAACTCTATGTTGATGAATGCCAGGGAATAACGAAGGGGGTCCTGACTTAAAAATTAGGACCTTGGAGGAGATCTGTAGCCTATCTCTCAAAGAAACTGGACAGTGTGGCAGCCAGATGGCCACCCTGTCTCCGGATGGTGGCAGCGATAGCCACCTTAATAAAAGACTCTAACAAGCTAACCCTAGGCCAGCCCCTGACTGTGGTCACCCAGCACGCAGTAGAAACTATTATCCACCAGCCCCCTGACTGCTGGCTCATTATCAGACCAAGCTCCTGGCGCTAAAAGGGTGCACTTTGGGTCTGCCGTCTCTCAACCCAACCTTGCTTCTCCCAGACCCAGGCACCGAGGGAAGCACACCCCATGACTGCCAGCAGATACTGGCAGAGGTGCATGGGACTCACAAAGGCTTGTTGGGCCAGCCCCTGCTGGACACAGATGTCACCTGGTTGACTGATGGGAGCAGCTTCCTCTTGAATGGCGAGCGGAAGGCCGGGGCAGTGGTGGTGGATGGAATAGTCACTGTCTGGGCCAGTGCATTGCCCCCCCAGGAACATCCGCCAAAGCAAGCAGAACTGGTAGCCCTCACCCAGGCACTGAAGATGGCGGCAGGTAAGAATGCCTTCGCTACAGCTCAGCTCACGTTTATGAGGAAATATATCAAAGGAAAGGGCTGCTGACCTTGGGGGAGGGGGAAGGAAATTAAAAATAAAACAGAAATTCTGGCCTTACTGCAAGCATTATTCTTGCCAAAGAAACTGAGCATAATACATTGCCCAGGCCACCAGAAAAGGGGAGGGCCCGTTGCAAGAGGGAACTGCCTAGCTGACAATTGGCTAAGCAAGCTGCCCTGGGGTCTCAGATACTACCCCTACACGCTGATCACAACATCCTGCCCCCCCCCAGACAAGGACCTCCCCCCAGCTTGACTATACTGATGAGGATTTGGACATTATTCAACAGTTGGGTGCAAATTATGACCCGGAGTCTGGGAAATGGAGATATCAAGATAAACTAATATTGCCCCAAAGAGATGCCAAGAACCTAGTGACTCAATTGCATAAACTGACACATCTGGGAAAGAAAAAGATGTCTACCTTGCTATCATGGGAAGAACAAATTTTTTATATACCTAATGCTAATTCTTTAATACAGAAAATTGTTGATGACTGCGTCCCCTGTGCAGAAGTCAATGTGGGCAGAATCAAGCTGCCTGAGGGCGTCAGACAAGAGGACACAGACCTGGCACTTATTGAGAAGTAGACTTTACAGAAATCATCCCGGCATGTATGGTAACAAATACCTCTTAGTGTTCATAGACACTTTCTCAGGATGGGTGGAAGCTTACCCTACCAAGAAGGAAACTGCCCAGGTAGTGGTCAAAAAGATTCTGGAAGAGATATTCCCTCGGTTTGGACTACCCAAGGTAATCGGGTCTGGTAATGGGCTTCTCCCAGGTAAGTCAGTTGGTGGCTAGGCTACTGGGGATGGATTGGAAATTACATTGTGCACATAGACCCCAGAGTTCAGGACAGGTAGAAAGAATGAATAGGACCATTAAAGAGACCTTAACTAAATTAGCACTGGAGACTGGCACTAAAGACTGGGTTCAACTCCTTCCCATGTCCCTCTTCAGGGCAAGAATTACTCCTGCGCAGCATGGCCTCACCCCCTTTGAGATCGTCTATGGGGGGCCTCCCCCTGCCACCACATTTTTGATTCTGATATTTCTGCTTATGCTAATACCCGGACCCTGCAGGCCCAACTGCAAGCCCTTCAAGCCATCCAGAGGAGGTCTGGAAACCCCTGGCTGCTGCCTATCATGAGAAAGGAACCCCCGCCCCCGCCTGTCCTCACCCCTGTAAGGTCGGGGACTCTGTCTATGTTAGAAGTCTATGTTAGAAGTCTAGGACTCTGGAGCCCAGCCGGAAGGACCTTACACCGTACTCTTGACTACACCTATGGCACTGAAGGTCGACTGCATAGCGGCCTGGGTTCACACCTCCCACGCAAAGCCCGCTCCACCATAAGAGACGGAGGTCGGCTCATGGAGACTCCAACACACTCCAAATCCACTAAAGATAAGACTTTCAAAGTCTACTTGGGTTTTTCCTGAACCTCATAGCCCTAAATGGGGGAACTCCCCATGCCCCGCAACCACTCACTTGGCAGGTTTCCTCCCAGGCAGGAGAAGTTGTCTGGTCTACCACAGGCACATACCCCCCAGGTGCCTGGTGGCCTATGCTTACCCCTGACTTCTGCCAACTAGCAGCTGGGTCTAATTATTGGGACATTCCCGATTCTGGCCCTGCAGACATCCCCTTGACCAGCTCAAAGAGATTGCACCCGCCTTTCTCAGCAGCAGCTGAGGGATGCAGCAGGCCCAACTTTAGAAGCCAGC